CTCCATCTTATCTATCTAATTTTGCTGATGAATTCACCATGTTTGCTGCTGTCAACTTCGAAAGCTCCCTATCCGTTATAACTGGGGAATTCAACTCCTCAGATCGCTCCTTCCTTGAAGCACTCGGTCACATAAACATAGTCAAATTTCTTACTCGACTTCACGAAACACTCGATCTAGTTTTAACTAATGACAAAGGAGTATATGAAACACGTAGACGTTCACCGATACTAAACTCAGATCACTGCATTGTCCGTGTTTTACCAAAAATATGCAGCAAAACACACGTCAATGTAGTTGAAGATTGAACGATCAATTCATGATTGTTTGCTCAAAACCAACTTCCCCAATTTTCGCGGAGGCATCAATACGACAGTCATCGTCTCATCGGTCGCTGTCCAGAAAGAAGTCAGGAGACAACTGTCAGAAACCTTAGTTGTAACATTGTTTATATGTTGGTTTTACAATAAAGAATCCTCGAATCGCCAATTGGGGTTTTGGTTTTTTCGTCCGTTACTACTAAGCGTTTCTGAGAAATTTCAAGGAACAGCGTTAGCCCGAGTGCAGCAAGAGCTGGGCATTAACGGTTTATGAGACGTGGCTGACAACACATATTAAAATCTTTTCACACCTGTCTAAGATAGCACAACAAAGATGCCACACATCTGACAACCTACTCAATCTAAGATGCATGTTAAAAGATACTAACTGGGATCTATTCTCTGAAAGTACATTAGATGACTCAATCACCAATATAATGGATTATCTCAAGTTCTGCCTCGACATATGCTGTCCCAAACAAACACTACTTAAACGCCTCGACCGCTTCTCGTCTCCCCATCTCAAACAACTTCGCAGGAAAAAAGAAATTTTATATAAATGCAAAGACAAGTTAGGACTTAAAAAGATTAATGCTCAAATCAAATCTGAAATCAAAAATCTTAATGCTATATATAACCAAACACTTTTATCATGCAAATCTCCTATCAGCATGTGGAAATTTTTCAATGAAATTACTGGCAATAGTAAGCGATGTAATGTTTCTCCCTCTTGTGATGTTAATGCTCTTAATCTGTCTTTTATACGCTCTCCTACTATAACCACTTCTAACGTTACTAATCTTGTAGCTGATAACTTCCAGGACTTTAACACTCTTGATGTTTTAAAATGTCTTAAAACTCTTAAGCCCTCACATAGTCTTGGCCCTGATGGCATACCTGCATATGTTCTAAAACAATGTGCAGATGCTTTATGTTCTCCTCTAACTAATATCCTAAATGCTTCTTTCTCCGAAAACGTTGTACCTGTTCCATGGAAAGACATTAAAATAGTCCCTGTCCCTAAACCTGGCAATAGCAAGAACGTAAAGTTCAGACCCATTGCCATCACTTCCCCGTTTCTAAAGCTCATGGAAAAACTAGTACTTCTTAAACTCGAACCCTCCCTTAAAAGCTTCGAAGACCCCAAACAATTTGCCTACAGACAGGGTAGGAGTACTTTAGACGCTGCAGCCGTCTTACACAACAGTATTGTCTCATCATTAGACAAAGGTGCCAAATATGTCCGCTGCACGTTTCTGGACTTCACTTCTGCTTTCGACTCTGTACCTAGACATCTCTTGCTAAATAAGCTCTCCATGACACAAACCGAGTCCTGGGTCACTAACTGGTTGCATTCCTACTTTTCAAACAGAACGCAGTACACCGTATACAAAGGCGAATCCTCCTCTGCTGTGCTCACTGAAGCTGGTGTCCCCCAAGGGGCTGTACTCTCCCCACTTCTCTTTTCTTCTTTCTACATGACCTACCATCTTCAAATGACATTAACTTTGTCAAATATGCTGATGACCTAACTGTATCTTTACCTGTCAAATGTCAAAGTGACTGCTCTAAACTAAATGGCTTCTTATCAGAAATCAGCCAATGGTCCAAGGAAAACGGTCTCACCTTAAACCCCTCCAAATGCCAAACAGTTAATTTCACCTTTAGGCACAAATCTGACCTAAACAAACTGGTTAGCACTCACGAGGTGTGCAACATAGATGGCACTGAAATTGAAACCAAGTCGGAAATTAAATACCTAGGCGTCACTCTATCTTCTGATCTTTCCTGGTCGTCTCATATCTTGACGATTTCCAAGAAAATATTCCGTCTTACCTTCTACATCAAGAAGTTAAGACATTCTGGTGTAACCCAACCCTTACTCCTACAATTTGTTAACTTCCGTATTCTGCCTATTATTCTCTATTGTTCCCCCTTAGTCTTTCCTGGGCTATTGAAGAAAGACTATACCTTATTACGTAGGATGTTAAAGGTTGTCAGCAGGGTAAGCAGTTTGCCACTTAGCCAGCTTGTTAATATTCTGGTGGACAGGCACATGGACTCATGTGAAAAATGGGCAAAATCCATTTTATCTGACTCACAACACCCTCTACATTCACAACTCTCCCCATGTATCTCTTCAGGGAAAACCAGAAGCCTATATAGGAAACTATATGCCCGCACTAGCAAGTACAAAAACTCATCCATACCCTACCTAGCTCGTGTTCTGTGCGATAAAGAAAGCATTAGGCATGAAACCTTTAACTTATTAAATAGTCAGTAGAACAAGGGGATCTCGTCTTTCCAACTCACATCATTTACAGGTTTTCTCACTACCCTTTTTTCATTCTGTATTTATTTTTGTTATGTGTTGTTTTGTTTCTCTTTTCCTTGCAAACTCTACTTAAAACATTCTTGTTCGTTCTTTCACACTCTGTATATCTCGACCATTTTGCTATCGCTTACGCCAGTAAATATGCTAGTAGTATCTACTTTTCTAACACCTTCAAACACTCTGTTTAAATTTTGGCTTTGCTACCGACATGCTAATATGTTGTTGTCAAAACTGACTGAGATAATTTTAATATATGTAGAACTATATATATTGTTAATGTACTAGCTGTATGCAATACTGTAGTAAAAATGCTGAGAATTCCATTCTGTATCACAAGCACTGATTTGGAATAAAGCTATTATCTTATCTCGTCCATCTAACCACTGTGCCACCGACGCACAGAAAGACAACAATAAGAAGAGCCGTAGCAAAAATATCACCGTTAAATACATTTACGAAAAGCGATACGTAAACTACAGACCCACTGGCCTGGGTCAACTTGCAATGAAACTCCAATAAAATATACAGTTATAAATGTAAGTTAGTGTTAAATAGGCACAAAGTGCCAGACAATTAGTTATATTTACTAATAGTTAACGAGATTATATGCACTGAATCGGTGTGCGGAGATAAACGAATTACAATAAATTTTACGACTTCCCGGCCAGAAACCCCATAAAAATGAGTTCTATGTAACTAGGTAAATGTAACGCACTAATCGAAAAGCGCGCCAAAGTCCACCACTCTTTAAATATAAATAAAGATAAAGTAACACTACGTATGCCACAGAGAGCTGTAGAGTTCTGAGAATGATAACCTTCATTTGCAACATATAATGCTAACTGCATTAAATTTACCATAGAAACTATGAAGTTTTAGACGAAAGTAAAGCTTTGCTCAGACGTTAGTGCTGTCGTTGTGTTTTGCGTTTGGTTTCCCGACTAAAGTCGTTATGATACCGAAATCAGTGACAGTTCATGAGTGGACGTAATTTGGATTTCGAACGATTATATGAATTTCTGCGTCAAAAAGGGACGTTTGTTGGCGATATGTGGAAATACGGGGTCTGCTTAACCGGCCTAAGAGAGCCGTATAACTCTGTAGCTTCATTGTTACTACTCGGAGACCGTTTACTGATCGATCATATTTCAGTGACTCTCCGTCGCGATATTTCCATGATTCCATCATCTGGAGTTGCTTAATCATCGCTGACAACACCTAGAAACGCCACAATCACAGCCTACACTGATCATGGCAGTTTAAATAGGATCAGGCTCACCTGCTTGGAGAAAGAGGGCGTGTTGATGTTTACGAAGTTATGACAGATACTAAAGCAGGTTCCCATACCTGACACTCATTTTTTCCGCCTAGGCCGAAGGCGAATCGAAACACCTAATTTACCGTCCAAAACATGAAATATATTTCTGCATCGAAGTCGCAGTTAGAGAACGATTGCTTAACCAGAAAGGAATCATGTACCAGTGAAAGTGATACAACGGCATGTGAAATGGCGTGTATAGTTGACCTCGAGACTCTGGTCAAACTAGTCCACCTAGAAATTCAACGTCGGCACTCAATATCGAGAAACGAATGCTGCAGGTTAATCATTTTCGGGGAATTACTAGCAGTTACAAATCTTCCATGGTTCTCTACGCCTGCAGACTAAATATCCGTTAATCCCGAAGGATCAGGTAGACGTAGACACACCAACAACAGGCATCAGTAATCTGATAAGTGGGTTGAAACAATGGATGCTTGCCATCGATCGAGATAAGTTATCAAGTATCTTCTTCAGGTAAATAAATTTCAATTCATACCACATAGGACGAACGCTTCTGCATTGAGTTTAAACTCATGGCTAATTAACTGTCATACTAAGCCAAAATTCAGAGCAACACACTGTCATATGGCTGCAGTTTGTTGCATGGGAACCTTTCGAGAAAACTTTGAGCTGTAACTAGAATCACCAATGGCACGTTCGTCAACATGCACCATTTGATAAGGCCTAAACCAGAAAAACTGCATCTAAACCGCTTCCACGAAATTGAAATGTGACATGATTGACCATCACACATCCTATTTATCAGATAGTGAAAGGCTGGCCAGAATCAATCCTTTCTCGTTAACAAAAGGAAGGTAGAGGAGACAAGAAATTACTATGTTCTGAATCTAAAGAGATGAAAAGGCCTTGGGAAATATGCTGATGAGAAGAAAAAGTAGTTTGGAGGGTAAAACTCCACAATAAGTCCTATTTTGCTTTTCTATAGGCATGATTCTTATAATAAACGAATTTTTTACTTTGTGGACACTTCCGTGTTGAAGGTTCAATTGTTCAGTTGTTTTGCGGCCTTTAATAGTGCACTTTTTGGTTGGGTGCAACGGTCATGTACGTTTGTATTTACTAGGATTTCCTACTAATATTTTCTCAAATTTTTGTGCTTTTGAGTACTTAATACCATTTTTAAACCATGTTATTATCACTGCATCATCTTATAAGAGTTTAATGTTTCTTTTTAGGACCACATTCGGTGCAAAGCTTGAACATTTGCTATGCTCCAGAGCTGAAATTATCAGCCGGATGCATAGACCGCCTCCAGCTGAGGGAAATGATTTAGAAAGACTTTTAAATTTGCCTCCTGGGAATAATCCAGCCACTCATGCTCCTCCACCAAATGCTCCTGTATGGCCAGATGAACAAGCTGCAGCATTTTGTGCTGTAGCTCCGCCTATCGAAACGTTTATGGATGTTCCAGATGAAATACGTCGAGATCAGTTTTATGCCGTAAGCTATTTTTGCCTGTTCATTCCTATTTATCTCAGCATTGACGCTTAACCTCATGTTTTCCTTGGTGTCGTGTTTCTAAACTCACTGAATATCATATTTAGTTCATATCTATCTGTCTAATTTATGAAATTAAATGGTTTTAATCGACAATTGAAGCAGTGTTGATATTATTACTCCTAAAGCTCCTGTTTTAGCGACATTTTACGTAGTAATGAGCGAAGTTAAGCTCTAACAGTCACTATGCAGAATAAAGAGACAATAAAAGCCGCAAAACTTTTAAATATATCGGTATATCATGGCGTTCTATAATCTGTTAGTATTTTCAACTCTTCATTAAACTATCCCAAAATCTTAATCCTCAAACAGAGCAGTCATCCCATCGGACTTCTGTCGTGCACAGGTATGTAGTTTTAGCAAATTTCAATTAGTCCATTATGCATCTATGTCGAAAATAGACAGACAGACAGTCCAGAAAGTATATAAGAAATGTTGCTTTAAGTGGCATCTGAATTACTGATCACTAGTCAGGAGTCTATGAAACAACTAAGGGATTTTATTTTACGGTGAGAATGACGGGGCATAGTAGCCTGTTCATGCTTTTAGTTAGTGTCAGTGTGAATGTACTCACCACTTCAGAAGCGTTGTTTTATACTCCTAATATCTCCTGTCATCTCATCGTTTTTCAAAATCCACTCGACTTGGTTTAATAATACTGGCGTCTTAAGTACTCATCCGCGGTGGAACAAAAATTCGAATCGCTACTCACCGGGGCGAAATATAGTCCTTTTTCTTCCTATGGGAAAAGAAAGGGAAGCCTCTGATCATTCTTATGATTTTCCACAAGGAGTGTGGAAAAGTCGTATGGTTAAATTATTGCTTATCTCTTTGCAATAGTTTCGCGTCTGCTGTTATTAGAGAACTTGCTACTTAAATGGCGAAAACAGTATTTTAAATATATTCTCAGAATAAGACTTAATGTCCTTTTTGATGATCTTGATATCCGCAAAACATTGGTAACAGTCGAGTCACAACCTGTTGTCAATTTCGATTTATGTTTGACTACTAGTTCTGAGTTGTTCTGCTGTTTAAATCTAGGTATTGGTTGAACAATCAGCAAACTGGTGAAATTCCCCCTGAGAAATGTCCTGCTTCATAATTTTGCTGGAGTTTCTAGGTTCAGTCGCTTGATTGGTGTTATTTTGTGAAGATGAGTTGCCGTTGTTACGATGGGTTGTCCCTGACCTTAACACCAGTCAAGGACAATAATAAGCTTGAGAATTCTCACTTGTATTGTCTCACTGATAGTCTCTTTAGATCCATAGTATTCGGACATCTTCTTAGTGCCATATTGTACCAAGTTTTTCTGCGTTTAAATAAATCATAAATACGACATCAATTTAGAAATCTGCATAAACATGCGTAGGGTCACGGGGCAGACATTCGTTCTTTTTAAATCTATGTATTGCAGTAGTCTCCAGTGATACTTTTGTGTGGCAACTTCATGATATTCTTTACACACTTCCACTTTGTTTACTTGAGGCTTTTCGGTTTGAGTCGTACTATGCTCATTGATCTATAGTACATCCTGTTGTCTCGCACTAGATATGTATTTATTTCTTCTGGGCGATTTTTGTACTTTGATTTTCTGTGCTTCTAGATCACGTATCAGATTTTGGCCTGCGTAATTACAGATATCATAGATTCTAACAAGTACAACGGGACGTGGCACAGTGGCTAGGACTCTCGTCGATCATGGTCCGAGGTTCGATCCCCTGCCGACGCACACCTGATATCGATGGTGGGCCTGCAAAATTTGAACTACCGATATCCACGCTGAAAATTCCATACTTGTACCAAAAATATACAGTGTGGAATCAAGCTGTAATCAGAAATAAAAATAAAGAAATGAAATAAAGAGTCGTTTTTGGGTATTTCAATAGACATGGTAGGCATTCTGAAATCGCCATCACTGTTTAACCATAATTCAGTCTTAAGAGTGTAAGCCACTAACAGTTGTCTGAATTAGATATTGTTTTCACTTAATGAGGGCTGTTTTTACGTGATGGCTTGAGTTTGATTCTCTCATGACGTGAAATCGTTTAAAATGACACATTCACTCTTTATTATCTTTTAATGAGGAAATCAGTCGATTGGGTTGTAAAGCGCTACGTCGATTGAGATGGTTCTGTCTGTCTGGATTCAACATAGAACTTGCCACTGAAGTGCAGCAGTTCGAGTTGCCACCTTCCAAATAGCACACAAAGGTAGACAAGAAGATGAGTGAAGAGAATCAATAGAGTTTGACAAGTATACGAGTGAAACAGAATGGGTAATGGCAGAAAGGAATATGAAAGATTACAGAGACTGAATACATGTGCGCCATTGACAACGATTTTGAGCCATGTCACCTATTGTCTCCAGCCATTGATTCCTAGAGTCCCGAGGGCCCCAACCCGGGAGTCTGCATCTCCCTACCTGACTCAGTTTAACTGTCAAGGATTTCATGGATTGATGCCATGTTTTTGTTTGGCCACCACTGGCTCTTTTCCAACCTGAACCTATATCAGCTAGCAATGCCCGTCGGGGGAGGCGGTGGTTAGGCATGCGCACCACGTGGCCTAGCCATCTTAGTCTATGTAACTTTATAGCCTCGTCGATTGATTTTCCCTCTTTGCCCAACACTCTACGCCTAACGTCAACATTACTTACCTTATTAAACCACCTAACGTGAGACAGAGATCGCAGACATCTATGATCGAAAGCAGTCAACCTTTTCATGTCTTCAACTCGTATTGGCCATGTTTCAGAGCCATAGACAAGGACGGAGCGAACTGATGAGCAGTACACACGTCCCTTAGTTGATAGCCGGATGTCACGCCTACGCCAGAGATGGTGTAAGTCAGCGAAAGCAGCTCGAGCTTTTTGGATCCGTGCTGATATTTCATCACCAATCAGTCCGTTGGTGCTGATACAACTTCCCAAATAGGTGAAGTGGTCAACATGTTCTATCGCTTCACTCCCTATCACTAAGTTAGGGGTTGACGTGGTCCAGTCCTGTAGCAGCATCTTACCTTCTGCAGGGGCGAATCGCATGCCAAACATACGAAGATTGCTGCTCAAGGTGTTCAGAAGACTCTACATTTTGTCAGCATCCTCCCCTAACAGGACTATGTCATCTGCATATTCTAAGTCCATAAGACTATTCCCTGGTAACAAGTCGATTCCTAAGTCGTTAAGTTCAGTTAAGGATACTTCCATTAGCATTTCTATGATGAAGTTAAACAGGAATGGGGAAAGTGGTCACCCCTGCCGGACACCACTGGTTGTTACCAATTTAGATGACAATTCCCCATAAACCCTTACACGGCTACATGAGTTTGAATAGAGTGCCTTGATTAGTGCAATGTACTTTCTTGGCACTCCCTTCACAGTCAGACATTGCCATAGTACCTTTCGGTCCACGGAGTCGAAGGCCGCCTTCAAGAAATATGACAATTGCCTGGCATGGTAGAACCTCAAGAGACATAAGTCTCAGCCAGTATAGCTTGATTAGGTCATTGCGGTGTTCAAGCCCGACCACCACGTCAAGGTAGCAGCTTTCGGTCGGGCCAGTCGGTCGGCCTCGATCGTTAGGACATGTGTTACGCATGCCAAGCCATTGCCTTTTTACAAGCAGTATTAGTTGCTGAGATAGGATTAGGTTGAAAGAGAGTTGGGGGTGGGTTACATCAAAACACCACACCGATCCATAAAGACTACTGTTGGTTTAAGCCAGCCAAGTTGGAGAGTGTTGATTGCTCACCTAGTTGGAGTCTGCGGGTTACCAATAACCAGACACTAGAGACTTAGTGAATTGGTTCTAAATCCTTCCTAATGGTGTAGGTGCATTCACTCTGTAATAACACATCTATTAAAACAATGCTTTTCCATGTTGTTATTCTTTCCCACAGTTCTACCTATTGTTCTTTACAATCTTTTTCTCTTATCTTTGCTTTTGTGTCTATATGAAGTGTAACAACTTGAACTTCTGGTGCACTTTGCAGAGTTATTTTCTAAAACTTAACCACTCAATTAGGATCTTGGAAATCTTTATTGAACTTTATTGTCGTCCATTGTAATTTAGTTGCATTTTAGTTCATATCCTTTTCAAAGTTCTACATTGTCTCGTCATTAAGTCAGCTTATCTTAAAATTCTTTGTATTTTTTCATGCGTTTAGTCGGCTTTCATTTAAGTCTAGGTTCTTAAAGGCTAAGTAGCTTCGCAATAGTCGCCATCCTTTTTGTCCACTTCGTTATATTGCATACGGTTATTTCACTGATATTATATGACTTATGCAGTTGCTCTTTTGTTGTTTGTTTTAGACCTGTCGACGGGATGATATATTGGTGGGTGCAGTCAGTGTTGTTCAAGACTCTGGCCTTGTGATCACTATTTTGGCCTACGACCAAGGACCACGGCGTGATTTTGAGGGACTTAAGATAACGGTGAGTGATACGTCATCTGATATATAATGACCGATTTTCCTTTTTACAGGGCTTCTGTCCACTCAGACAACTTCCACGATACAACACACATGGGAATGCGTTGGATGCCTTTCAGATTGGGGATAAAGTCCGTGGTAAGTAGCAGTGCTTTTATCTGATACATGCTATTGTCATTCTATGTGTATTATTCCCTTGGGTTTCGAGTGGAAGATAGGGCTTAAACTGAGGCACATCTCTATCCCACTCTGTTCTCTACAGTCCTTATTAACTAGCTCCACGACTGCCCATAGGCTTTCATTTCCTCTTCAATATACGATGTGCATATCACATTCGGATGCCTAATTGGCCGGTTCCCATTCGGCTCACACTTGAGAGTCTGAGTGACGCGTGTCACCCAACAACCTCAGTGTGTCCAATCCATCCACCTCCATTTCCTTCTACCTATCCAATGAGCTATAGGTAGTTGGTTGGTTTGTTGCCAGAGTTCCTTAGTTGCTTGCTGATGCTTTCTGGTCGACCATCATTCGATCTTTAAGTATGGAGCAGATTGTTAGAAATACTTTCTGTGGCACGTGTGTCAAGTCTGTGAAGTGCTCACTGACTTGACGGTGTTGAATCTGATATTTTGTTGATGATGAACCAAGATGCATCAGATGGACACTAAACTCTGATATAAGCCACCCGTGTAAAACACTTGTCATAGCTCTCAGTAGCAAAATTAAGAATCAAATAATACATTTGATTAGAAGACCAGTTTTTCAACAATTTGTAGTCATTTCTAGGTCATATCACCAAATGACACGTTTCACACTTCACGAAATCTAAATCTTTTATAAGATGTTTAACGTGTAAGTCTCAAGGTAAACTGTATATTACGTTGTTAAAGTCATCAGAGCTTAGTTAAAAGGTACTATAGATGAGTGTTGTGACACTTTGTTTGTCTGTTAATTGAAGACAGTCGTCCTAACTTACCTATATTTTGTGTTTGTTGACACTCGTTAGAGATTGAGGCGTACCTGCGACCTCAATTATTCGAAGTTACGTCACCCAGTTCTACAGTTAGAGACATCACTACAAGGCTTTTTACTCTTTGATCGTATGAAGAGTACTGCGAAAGGTCTGGCTTAAATTTATGAGTGAATAGCCAAGGCCTCCGCTATCTTTAAAAGTTTGGAGTGAAGAAAACTGCAAGTTAGCATGAGCTGCCATGGTTCATAGAGTGATACAAGTCGATCAAATATAGAGCTTTGCACAACCTGCCTTTACCCACACAGGTGTATGCTCTCGTATTCGTGTGAGGAAAGCATTCTTTGTCTACAGCCAATGTAGTTTACTACACAAGACCAGTTGAATTAATAGAGATGTACATAGAGGCGGCCATACGAGGAAGGGTATCTTTTAGACAAACAACTGAACTTCCGGTTAGTGTAAGTCAGCTGGAATTCTACCTCAAAGAACCTTGACTGACCTAGGTTCTACGCCTGTTAATACTCGTTAAAGATGGAGGCATATCTGAAACGTTGTGAAGCGACTGGTGTGATCCCTCCAAGATTCGAAACAGCGCTACTCAGTGCTACATTTAGTGATAAGTTGCCACGAAGCTATTCGCGACTGACCTCCTGTAGGGATTATGGTGGATGGGCGACTGACAATATCAAAAATCACTGGTGTTTTCAACAGACTTTCTGTATTTTCTTATATTCACTTTTACGAACCTCCATACTTATTCTCTTTCAAATTTATTTTGTTTTTCAGCATTCATTCTTGATATTCATGGTGGTGGACGCTTAATTCTGAGCATGAATTCAAAGATGCTTAATCGAGAGATTTACGGGGATCTCAAATTGGTGAGTAGTTACTAATTTTGATGAAAGGGAAGAAATTATTTGTTCTTTTGAATATAGATCGAAAACAACTCGGTGGTGTGTGAGTAATAAGATGGTACCATCATTGTGTATTTCATCTGTTTCTCGTCAGCTCTGCGTTCATCGTAAGATTTTATTAAGGTAGACTAGAAAGTAACTAATAAGTTGCCTAACAATGTGATGAGTTTCACAACTGAAATCACAAAAACAACAGTAAAAACGGCGATGTTAAAGTTTTATAGTTCGTGAAACGTGACCTCGAGTCGACCAATCAGAAAAATCAGTGACTTTTTACAAAAATAACATTCACTTACCAGAGACGAGCTTGAAAACACACTAAACAGGATCCCCCTCTCGGATATGACTTAAAAATGCGTCCCGATTATAATGAGGAGTGTCAGTTGTTAAGTTGAACCAATTTGTCTACATATTTTCATCACGACTGAAAATAAGTTCATTGTGCATGCTGTGTATCGCTCTAATCCATCTATTCCAGAATCCCTCGATTGAATTGCTTTAAGTGCTAGTTATGGGGTCGGCGAAATCATTAGAATGGTTAACTACATGATGGATATGTCCCAAACCTGACAAGTGGTTGTATATCCCCCATTCGTCATTGTGAACAGTAAATCAAGGGATGACTAGCCTTTGAATAATTAGCGGAAGGGTGTTGGGGCTACGATCTGGAATAACCCCCATAATTCCCTCGTGAAGTTCAGTGTCGTAAATACCCATATCCAAACATTGTTTCTTCTAGGATGACTGCGGTTGTATTTCACTCGATCAATCCATTTGCCAAACAGTACTTAGAAACGTGATCTGAGCAAAATTTGCTCCTTAATTGATGTAAAGCGTTCATATTGAAGCTATGATAGTAAATAGGTACAGTTATCCAATGACTGGCATGCGTTACAGGTCAATGGAGCGTTCGCACTCCTAGGCCGTAATACTTAAACTTGGCTATTAGAAATAATAGCATTGATAAATCATAATTACGATTATTTTTAGTTGAGAAGCTTGGGTATCTGGTAGTGGTGCAGTAGTAGAGAGCACTCACCAACCGCTCATATGACCCCGAGTTCGATCCCCTGTCTACGACGCACTTCTAAACCTCTCTTAGCCGACTGTAAGTCCAGAAAAAAGAGAAGAAGGAGTTGAGTGCGAGACTAGCATCCCCTGCCCTGTAAAAAGCAAAACCACCACTACTGAAACTTGGAGCCCTTATGTTCTACTTGGAACGAAGTAGAACTTTGTGTAGCGTAATCTACACGTGGATAAATAAATGACACGTAAGTGAATAAGTTGTCTAACATGTTGCACCAGTGTCCACCTCTATCAATTGGGGGGGGGTGGGGACAAACGCCTTCATAATAGAATCGCCATTGGGATTCATCTCACTAATGATACGAGACATGGAGGGGGGTTGGATACCCTAAAATGCTTTGAAATAATCCATAATTGACTGACTGATTGGCTTCAACATACAACAACTTTGCACAGAAGTGCGGTATCAGTTCGAGTTGCTATACTCCATAGAGCACACAAAGGAAGACAAAAGAGAACAAAGCAATTCAGAAGAACCATAACATGGAAAAAACATAGAGGTTTGATGTATATGAGAGATTACACAAAGAGTGAATGCATCCGTGCTGCGGGTTGGCCACCCCTCCGCACACCTCTTGAAATGCTCCCATATGACCGGGCGTCTTACATAGCCTCTCCTGAGGAAGTCCTACTCACTGCCTTCACGTGGCGGAGGTGTTTCTCACCAAAGTAAGAGGGCGAAAGCGGATGCCCGGCGCTCTCCACCGGGTTGACTGTCCATTGGATGACGGTCTAGGGGAGATGGCTAAACCCTGATTCCAAACCTCCAACGACTGGCGTATGAAGCTCACTGGAGCTCACCGGCAGACGTATGGACAAAGGGCTTGTTGGATGTCCTGGATGTCTGGCCCCATTCAAAAAGGCGTATGAACCGAACTCCGGTCACCGGCTGCCAATGGATAGTAGACTCCTTACTCCACTCCTACTGCCTTGTAGGTCACACTTGGCTGTGTAAAGGCTAGAGCTGCACTCTCAAACAAAAGGCCGAGCGATGCTGGGGACATCACTCGTACCAAATTCCCATGAAACTTCATGAACTCTCTTACAAATTGCCGCGCCTGGGCAGCGATGATTCGAGACGTTCATGAAGCCGGCTCATCCTCCCGTAGGAGATAGCCGAAGTAAAGTAAAGTAAGTATGCATCCGTGCCATTGAAAAACGTATTATACTAATGGTCTCTAGCCATCGGTCTTTATAATCCCGACAACCCCAACTACCCAAGCAGCCTTTGCACTTCCATAGTTCAAAATTTCACCGACTGATGAGACCAAGTTTTGGTTTTGTTATGTACTCTTCGCCAATATGTTATGGGATCGTTGCCGATATCATGATGTGATCGAGTATAAATATACGCTAATGAGATATAATGGACGATAACGTGCAGACTGTTACTACTGCGTACATAATTTGTCCTGACGCGAAGGAGGCAAATCAGAAGACCACCACATTCACGAAGATACGTGTATTTTCAACAAGGAAAATTAACTGTCACATGAGTGTGAATGGAAGAGTACTAAAGAGTACAAAAGGTGTGAAGGAGTGTGTTAACTGTACAATACAAGAGTATATATGAAAATGACTAACATACATGAACCAATAAGATAGACAGTAGCTTTTCTTATGATCATTGGATTCTGATTGGTTGTAATGTCATGTGACAGACAAGCATATTGTGAGTTATAATGGAATAACGATCAATATACATATAGCAAACATATCAGACTGTCAAAGCAAAGCAGGCATCATGTGACTACATATCAGGTTTAACTACCACTAGCTCTTTTCCAACGTAATCCTATTTTGGCGGCTAACATTACTTGTCGAGGAAGGCGATAATTAGGCATGCGTAACACATGTCCTAGCCATCTCAATTGAATCACCTTTTACAACCGCAATGGTTGATAATTTACCCTCACTAGCCAGTTCTTTACGCCTAATCTCGATATTATTATACCTACAATTATGCCACTTAACACGGGATATATAACACAATCATCTATGGTGAAGGACAGCCCTGGCCATGGTCTCACATCCATAAGGGAGGATGGGGTGAACTGGTGCAGAGTGTGCACACGTCGTCTGAACAATAACAAGATATATCTACGCTAGAGATGAAGTAAGCTGATAAATGTCACCCGAGACGTTTGTATCCGTGCTGAGATTTAATCAGCCCATTGAGGCTGAAATGAAGTGGTAGTCAACACACTCTACCACTTGACCACTCCCTGTCTTTTAGCTAACTGGAAGTTGATGTAGTTCAGTCCTGTAGCATTATCATTTTACATTTGACAGGAGAAAATCGCAAGCCGGATAGACTCAAGATGTTGGTGCATTCTTCCTCCCACTTACTTTTGTATGGAACATCTACGATCCCATGTGAAAATGGCGGTGAGTAATCGTGCAGCTTGTTTGACGATAACACGGGCTTTAATAAATGGACGTGACCACATGAGATAGAAAGACCTAAGTCTTTAAGTATTTCAGAAGAAAAAAGAAAAATCCAGTCTGCTATTATATAACTGGTTCTTTTCTTTCATTTTTTTTACAGGGTATCATAACTGACGACGATTTGCCATTGTATTACAAGTGAGTAAACATTACTATGGAAAAATTGATTTTATTTTTTTAAACACACTATGTTCAAACATGATTTGCCTTGTGTTATTGGTGGAGAAAAGAGAGAGAAAAAATGAGATTCTAGAAAAACCCTAATAGCAGATTGGAAAAACACTGTGAGGACTGAATAGATATTTGAAGATTACCACAAAGAGTGAAGGCGCCAGTGACAACGACCATTTTGAATTGTATCACCCAATAGTCTTCAGTTATTAAGTGTTCCAATATAAGGTTGTCAGTGTGGTGTCTTAAAAGACTGTCAAATCAAGTTTATCCAGCTGTAATCTCAGTAAGTTGTCTCAGATTTAAGAGAAGCTGAGGGATCTAACTGTGAGCACCAATAAATAGTTTGTATGAGATTCTGGTTACTTACTGCCTTGACGTGCAGATCAAGGCAAGTGGTTGTTTTAAGGGGGGCCATCCTCCTTTCCACCTCCTCCCGAGCCTTTGACTTGAAATTGAATCCACAAACCAGTGGAACAGTGTTAGGAGCTGCTGCTGATTTTTCTTGGTTTCCGGTGACTAAAACAGGTTCATACGTGCTGTTCTATCCTTTAGGGGGATTCTGAAACCAATGTACACACCATAAGTTTGTTGGGATAAGGATTTTCCAGTGTCTCTGAGTAGTGAACCTTAATGTCTTCTGCCAGTTCGATTGTGTAAGCATCAGACTTTTTCGCATTCACTCGCTGAGTTTTTATAATTGGTTGTGCGAGCACATAATGACTTCTAGTCCTATCAGATAAGACGCAGCAAGGAGGAGGCAGAATATAAAGAGGGATGTTGAGAGTCGGACAATATGGACTTAGACCATTTCTCACATGAGTTGTTCGGGTGTCTGTAAACTATAACAATAAAGAGCAGACTGAGTGGCTTACAGTTTACCATACTGACAACTTTTAATACCCTTCTCAATATCATCTTGTAGTCATTTTCGGTTAGTGTGGGAGCGATAAAGAATAATAGATAAGATGTAAGAGTTAACAAATAAAGGTTGAGTGATTTCAGATTGTCTTAACTTCTTAATATAGGTGATTAGACGGAGCATCTCAGAAGCAGACGACAGGATATGAGATGACCGACCAATATAGATGAGAGGATAGAATTATGTTATCATTATAATTAGTCATGATATTGATATGATTCTGAACAATAAATTGTGTTCGAAACGTCATCCAGTATACAATACTGTTTCATTGTGTGATACATTTAATAATCAAACTAATATGGAATAATTAGTCATGGTTAATTCATCCTAGTCTTGTTATTGTTCATGTTTTGATGTATTTTTCTTATTGTTAGAAAACTTCAAAATTTAGATGGAAAATCCTATGAGGCATATCTTGAATCAACTCCACAATTTCGTAATCCAGATGGTCTACAGGTCCTATGCGCTCGTATGGGGATACCGAGGTCTTCAGCGTGTAGTCTATTATTTTGTATTAATAAGTAAGTAATAGGCTGAAATTATTATTATTTTTTCTTTTTTGTATTTAAGGCGTGATGAGTAATTAATTATTTTCACTTAAGTTACCTTGTGTCTCTGATGTAAACAGTGAGTGGAGCAATTTTGATTTCCAGTGAGGGTGGGACATGAGCTCTCCCGATATTCGCTTCCTCCTTCCTGTGGAGTTGAGTACATTAGTTATATCATGCGTTCACTTCTAAAAAGTTATCGGGAACATTATCCTGCTCTCCTAGAGACAGCAAATGCATGTGTTTGTTCCTTGCTCGATAACAGGAAATATCTGATGAACCCAGGAGACTTTGCTTCATTTGATGAAAGTTTTTCAAATTGATATATATATATATATATATATATATATATATATATATATATATATATATATATATATATAAGGTCAAGACATCTCACAGCGTAACTGAAGCACTATTACACAGTGAGCATCATAATATTACAACAATCGTAGGACTGAATCAGCCAGTCCACGCATCTAAAACTAAAATCAACAATATGAGATTTAGATAGATTCAGCTTAAGACCATTTACAGGTGAGACCATTTGTTAACTTCAGGTAAGGATCTATTCACATCAGAACAGTCCAGTGCAGAAACTACTGGGACAGAAATTGTCAGATTATTGACATATTTAATGAAGTTAACGTTGGAAGAATACGGGGTAAGTCATGCGAAAAGGAATGTAGAGAGTACAGTCAATCTTGAGACACACTGGTTTCCGTTGGCAAACAAGTGGAGCGGTTTCTATTTAATAGAACAGTATGTTGTTTTCAACCCGGTAACTTACTTTACTTTACTTCGGCTATCTCCTACGGGAGGATGAGCCGGCTTCATGAACGTCTCGAATCATCGCTGCCCAGGCGCGGCAATTTGTAAGAGAGTTCATGAAGTTTCATGGGAATTTGGTACGAGTGATGTCCCAGCATCGCTCGGCCTTTTGTTTGAGAGTGCAGCTCTAGCCTTTACACAACCAAGTGTGACCTACAAGGCAGTAGGAGTGGAGTAAGGAGTCCACTATCCATTGGCAGCCAGCCGGTGACCGGAGTCCGGTTTGTTCTTTGTTTGTCTTTGTTTGGTCTTTGTTTGTCTGCATTCTATCTCCCATGTTAAGTGTTTATATTAGGGTGAACAATAATATTGAGGTTAGGCGTCGAGAGTTTAATAAGTAAGGAGGGAAGGTCAGTCACGATGAGGTTGTTAAGCTAAGCCATCGATTGAGATGGCTAGTACAACACGTGTTACTCAGGTCTCATCATCACCTTCCTCGGCGACCACTGTTAGCTGGCATAAGATCTGGTTGGAAAAGAGTTAGCTATTGCTGGTCAAACCAAAAAATGGCTTTCTTAGCCAAAGAAATCCATAATAGTTAGTGTAAGCCAGCCACGTAGGGGGGGTGTTGACTGCCTATCTGCCTGGTTGGGGTTCTCTGGATGGCAAGAACCAATGATGGCTGGACAATTGGTGATATTTGGCTGAAAATCGTCGTTCTAGATCGTGGCCTAGATGCATTCGTTCATTCTTTGCGTGATCTGCCATATGCAGTAAACTCCCTATTGTTTTTCCATGTTACTGTTCTTTCTTTCTTCCCCACATTTCTGCTTATCATTGTACTTCTGAATCTCTTTTCCCTTTAAATCTTTTCCCTACCCTTGTGTGCTATATGGCAGGAGTAGGACTGTCACTGCGCTTCTTTGCATTGTAGTTCTGTGTTGAAAGTGTTAAATAGTTATGTAGGGAAGCAGGCAGAGGAAGGCTATCCTGACTGTACACTATGGGAAGATGTCCTTTTTGTCATCTGACCAATGAATATTGTAAAATACGATATATCTAATAATTTTGTTTTCCTACCACTCCACCAACTTTTTAGAATTCGTTTGCCGAAATCTGAAATGGCTTGTGAACTTAGACGAACACAACTTTTAAATTTCTCAATGAAGCAGTAAGTACTATTATTACAATTACTGTTATTCTTGTTATTGCCATTAGTTCAAGCATGATCACGAATTGATATCAGTTTGAGAACCGTTGTAAACCACCAGGGGAGCATTGGAGCAAGTCTTCAGCACCCACCCACCTCTACAGGGACCGAACTCTGTTATTAAACCAGCGTTGTTGACCGTTAGATTCTCTAACCCAAGTGGCTGAATGATTGATCAACATGGTTGGCTTCGTAACCTGAAGGTCCATGGTGAGTCGATCCTTGACAGGGGGTTGGAGTGTGTGTTTGTCATGGATGTGCACTGATGTGAATGGTCTCAAACTAGAGCGAAACATCTGAAATCTACGCTGTGATGAAATTAATCTAAATCCCTGTCAAAATCCTTAATGGGAATTTCATTGAATTTGGTGAATAGTTATTATAGAGAAGATTTGTAGCTCAGGTGGATGATTTTGATGTGGTTTTGTTCTCTGAGCTGGATGGTTAGTTTGCGAAGCTTTCATCACCCTACTGGGTGACCTCTTCAGCGCATACTTCAATTTGAAGTGAGCTTTTAGATTTCTCCACGAGTTTATTAATCATCTCTCCTGGTGACCTTGGACGTGATTGGTTGTTTGTGTGTGTTTTCACACCTTCTAGGTTACTTGTATTGGAACCGGTTGTTTCTTTGACTTGAATTTTGACCCTTTGTGTGTGAAGTTTCTTTCTTATTGGTTGATAAATTTTGTCTATCTCGATGTGTCTATTGATTGATGATTCACTGGAATGCCAAGCTTCTAAAAATTCTCTAGCATTCTTGTTAGACAAAGGAAATAACAAGAATGCTAGAGAATTTTCAGACGGCTGTTTGGCATTCCAGTGAATCATCAATCAATAGACACATCGAGATAGACAAAATTTATCAACCAATAAGAAAGAAACTTCACACACGAAGGGTCAAAGTTCAAGTCAAAGAAACAACCGGTTCCAATACAAGTAACCTAGAAGGTGTGAAAACACACACAAACAACCAATCACGTCCAAGGTCACCAGGAGAGATGATTAATAAACTCGTGGAGAAATCTAAAAGCTCACTTCTGTAAATTGAAGTATGCGCTCAAGATGTCACCCAGTAAGGTGATGAAAGCTTCGCAAACTAACCATCCAGCTCAGAGAACAAAACCACATCAAAATTGGTGAATAGTATCTAGCAGCGGGATCTAGGACTGCTTCGGACTCGTTAGCTGGATGTCTCTGTATTCCTAAGTGATATATTTATTCAGTTAAACTCAAAAACCTACTATGGGCACCAAGAGATGTACCATACAAAAGTAGGAATATGGATACGTGTGAAAGGCAGCATCAAGAAAGAGCAAGTAGGTATCCTTATGAAGAGCATTCAAAGGAGGATGGTTCACCACTACTACTACCACTTCGATGTTAATTTCAGAAAAGGGGAGGAAAAGCGAAAGGAAGGAATAGTGCATCTGCTCGCAGCTGATTCAGATTGTCTATAGGATGCCACCATTCAGGGAGTCATAATGCGCCAACAAAATTCTAGCCTAACAGAATGATCCCTCATCCCATGGATGACTACCCCCTTACTTCTATGGACCAGTTGAAGGGTTTGGAAACAGTAAAGATATGGAAACCACTAGGATGATTACATTTATACTACATAATTAGTCATGCCACCGATGTTTTAAGTTGGCAAGACTTGATGAAAGACCACCTCCACTGTGTCCACATACACTTCGTTTGACCTTAGACATATTACGGAGGCAAGGGTGATGGAATACACAGAGTCAGTACCTGCCCAGCCTGTAGCTCGGAGGGGTCGGGTTTCACAGGCGTTTATCTGCTTTAGTCAACTACATTTATAGTAACTTTTATGCTTGTTTGTGCACTGAATGTGTTTGCCTTACAGAGGTGCTAAGAAAACGAAAACAATGTTCTTTTATATATATGTATACACATAAAGTCAAATAGTGAATTGTGCAACCTTAACCTCTCAGAGAGATCCATCTGCAGTCATGTATGTATACACACAGCCCCCTGTAGCTTATGGGAATCAGAATAATATTCCTGATCGTGTCTACGGAAATTGATGCATTTTGTATCTTTGATTCAGTGTGTGCTCAGCTCAGAAATGCGGCCAAGTGGGGAGTTCTGGGGGGAAATTCGCAATTTGCTTTGTTAGGAGTGTACCTACCCCTTCTCTTGGAACTGACTTGTCTGGGGATACGGGGGGGGGCTAATCTTCGTGACAGTATCCGCAACACTTGTTGACCCTTGGAAATTCGAGCCAGGTAGTATGAGTTTCATTGTAGGGCCCCGTACCCATATCCTCATTAGGTCTCCAAGATGAACTGTCTCTGGGAAATTGAACGATGTAGGTAAGACAAATCGAAAAATTGGTTCTGGGGGTCGAGTCAGAAAGGGCCGGGTCAGATGTTTGTCGGTCCAGTCGAAGTCTGGTGTCTTCATGAGCGGTTTCAGATGTTGGTGTCTTATTACTCCCAACTTGCGTTGACTTGCTCTGCCTATGTCTATGTTGAAACCAGACGGACTTGCTCTGCAAATTTCATCAAGCGGTTGTACTTCCATGGTCTGGCATACACGACGACTAACTGTGAGCTAGCACAGATCAAGGCGAATCTGACTGTCTAATCAGAACAAAGCACTGTCGTGTGTCCCACTGACCAACCAGTGATTTCTGCCCAGTTCTCCGAATGTTTACCATTGTAATATCATTGTGACGCTGGCAACTCATCTTTTCTTATATTCGTTTTATCTGTTTATTTGTGTTTTTAGTGTTGCTCAGGGTGTAAAGTATTTCAAAGAGAGTCGTAATACTGAAGCTTTACAGTGTTACAATTTCGCTATCGAAGTTGAGCCTACCAATCCAGATGCATATGTGGCTCGTGGTGCTCTGTAAGTGTAGTATCTCTTTAACTTCTGAACTTTGCATTTAGTTTGATAAATGCTACCATTTCCAAATGATATCTGCATTCCAATAGTGATATTTGCTATCAATAATTAATCAGTATTGGCATATCAAGGGGGGATAATTGATTAAGTAAATTAATACACTCAATTAAAAAGTAGAACTGGTTACAATAAGTGCAGTACATAATGCTTAATTTTCAAAAAAAAAGGGAGAGCGGTTAAGGAATGAACAAATGTTCAGGTTGACTACGTAACAGGCAATTAAAGTAAAACAACATTTTGAGCGAACAATTGTTTTCGAGAACTTCTTCAGGCTCTACAGTTATAAACCCATGAATAATAGAGTACATATAGCCAATAAAGGCAAATGAAAAACAATAAAATAATAAATTGATTAACAAAATAATTAAAGTAAAGTAAAATAAATAGGACAATAATAACTTGCCACTAATGGTGAAGTCGTTAGGAAAATAATGAAATAATTTGGACAATTATGATTTTTGACAAGCTTGGATGGAGGGCGAAGTAGTCGGGTTTATACATCCACATAACGCTGGCGAAAATATGGGAGGTGGCTGTACGAACTTCACCTGAATACATGGAATAGGCTTCTGTAGGTGGGTTCCGATTGCTTCAGCTGTCATATGTAGAAGAAGAACTCGTAAAGCATAATTAAGATTATTAGTAATGTGATAATTAACTTTAAGTGGTGTATGAACATCAACTTTATACTCACTGGTCTTCAAGGTGTGCTAAAACAGAGCTACGAATAAATATTGTTTGTTCTTTGCTTAACCATGCTGGATGGTGTTCGGAAATAAAGCTGCCAAATTGTACATCCAATATAACTAGTACGCAGCTGCAGTCAAACTGGTAGATACGCATAGAGGAAGGTAAATTAAGTTGTCTGTCCTTATTTCTTCAACGTGAAACAGGGTTGTGGTGGAGAGACAACGTACCTTTGCTAATGCATTGAAAGCTCTTTTAACTGCATTCTTCAGGCTTTTTGTTACTATTTCGCTGATGTTATTATCACTGGAGAACTGCAGTTTTATGAACAATGGTTTCTTGAAACTATTTCCATACTGACTCTCCTTGGCGCTAAATTCATATTTTTTCCCAATGAACTTATCTGGATAACCATTTTTATTCGGTAATTCTCTGATAATCCTAGGCTCCTCATTCAGGGAGTAGTTTGAGCAGAATATTCTAGCTCTCTCAGCCAGACACTTTACCAAATCGCGTTTATATTTCAAAGGTGCAAAACTCAAAGAAATGAGTGTACTAATCTGTTGTTGTAGGTTTCCTATACACACTCCTTCTTAGTGTACCGTTTTCTTTCCTGGCCCATCAAAACGTTTAGGAATGAGATACTATGATTACTGTCTTTCTCTATGATGAAGTTTATCGCTGAATGCGCATCAGTGAACTTGTCGTCTGTCTGTCTGTCTGTTTTCGACATAGAACTTTGCACAAATGTGCGGAAGTTCAAGTCGCCACATTCCGTGTAGCACGCGAAGCAAGAGAAGAAAGTACAAGAAAAGCATAATAGAAACAGTGAGCAGAGGTGTGAGACAAAGGAGTAATAAAGAAATACAAAACAGTTTCATTGAAGATCATAAGTCACAGGGAGTGGATGCATCTGCGCCACTGAGAACGATTTTGAGCCATGTCACCAATTGTTTCCAACCATAGATTTTTACCGTCCCGAGGACCCCAGCCTGGAAGTCTACACCTTTCTACGTGGCTTAGACCAACTGTTGTGGATTTCATTGACTGGTGAAGCCAAGTTTTTGTTTGACCGCCGCTAGCTTTTTTCCAGCCTGACCCTATATCCGCTAACATTGCTCGTCGAGGGAGGCGATGGCTTGGCATACGTAACACATGTCCTAACCATCTCAGTCTTTGTAGCTTCACGACTTCGTCGATTGATTTCCCCTGTTTACCTAGAACTCTACGCCTAACCTCCATGTTGCTCACCTTATTATGCCACTTTACACGGGAAATAGAACGCAGGCACCTATGATCAAAGACAGCTAGTCTTTTCATGTCTTCCACTCTCAGTGGCCAGGTCTCACAGCTGGCCATAAAGGAGGACGGAGCGGACTGATGAGCAGTACACCCGCCCTTTGGTCGATAGTCGAACATCTCGTCTACGCCAGAGTCGGCGTAAACTAACAAATGCGAAACGAGCCCCTTGTATTCGTGCTGAGATTTCGTCAGAGATCAACCCGTTGGCACTGGCTGATGGTACTTCCCAAATAAGTGAAGCGGTCAACGTGCTCTACCACTTCACTTCCTATTTTTTAAACTAGGCGTCGAGGATGTTCATTGTTTCATTCTCGTTTTTCATAAGCAGAATTGTATCATCCATATACCGATAGTGGAATTCCAACTCATTAATTACTCCTGTGATTTGTGGTTACTGAGTTCATGTTGTTGTTGCTGTTGTAGTATCTGGTAGGGGAAAAAGTTTAATAAATAAATATCTGAACTTAGGGAGCTATCAGAGTAATTAATAATAAGTTGTATTATTTATGAATCAACACTCATGATTGTCACTCAGCTTGTTTTACTCGATCACCTCCTAGAAAAAAAGCCTTTGTGTGATTTCAGAAGTGTGTAGGTAGGGAAGGTACTTCTCGGCTACCTATGCCGTGAAAGTTCACTTTTTCTTTAGTTACTTGCAACAGAAGTAGGCGTATTAGTGTTGCGTGACCGCAGAGCCCGAATGCTTGAGGCTGGTCGCACACGGCTGGGTTTTTCTGACTTGTTTCTGTATTAGTAACTTTCTGCTGGCTACAGACCACCCGTAGCGAGGATGTACAATTTTTAGGGTAGACGTTTTTTTAATCCCTAGTGCCTCTCCAGAGGGAAGAACAGCAGGCCAATCGTTTAAGGGAAACATCTTACTGCTGTTACATCTCTGTTCTTCAGCAGTACAACGACGCCTGCACACCCCAAGCATAATGTACACATTTTACGCTATGCCGGTAACTGCTCTTAGCTCTCCTAACAACCTTTGTCGCAAGGTAGAACGTGTAGGTACATTAATTCCAGTCTGTATAGCTTGTTAGATCATTGCGGTATTGCGGTACAACTCACGTCAATGGTAGCAGCTATCGGTCGGGTTCATCAGCTTCAAGTAATTGTGTTAAGAAACTCTGATTCAGATTTGTTTTGAGTGGGCTTAGTCCAGTCATGTGAAAAGCCACCATCTAACACATTTGACATTTGCAAATATGTGTGTGGCTTAACTGCATCTTGTCAGTTTTAATGCATGTCACTGTGTATTTTACTAATGGTGTTAATCATTAGGCTTTCATAGTATACCCGCTAACCTTTTTCAACACCTCTTTCTTCCTTTTACTCCTAAAGTTATGCATCAATCGGGACATACACAAAAGCTGTTGAAGATTTAGAGAAAAGTCTTGAAATCCAACCGAATCATGTCAATGCGAAAAATTATCTTGGACAAACACTGGTTGCATATGCTGGAGAGTAAGCACAACATCATTTATATATATATATATATTCATTTTATTCCACTAGTTATAAGGATACTGTAATCTGCCTGCCAGGTAAGTTGTCTGTGACGACCATTCATGAAGGAGAAGGCGTTTTCCTCAAGAAATAAAAAAGTGGAACGAAGTGGGGTGGGAGGCTCGGGAATGTGAATGTGAACACGTATAGCGCTTAACACAAACTAACTGATTGATTGGTGGAGGATGTGCAGGTCTACCTACACCTACCTAATTAGCGATGCTGGAAAACTCGGATTGATTCTAAACCTAACTTATAGTGTGTGTGTATGTGCATCATGTCCTCCAGAATCTGAAAGGATCGAGAATAACGTATAGACTTGTTTTGGTTGCTTTCCGCCCACGTTACAGGCTTACTGTATGCTTAGGGAGGTTTTATGAGTGCGTAAATGGATGGATGAGGATGCCACCCGAATCTTCAGTGTGTGGTTAACGAGGCTTCGACCACTGACACTAATTAAGATTGCCCACATTATTTAACCGCTCTTGTGGGAGTGCAACGGTGTGGTTCAGCTTCTTGAGTTAAGAACACATGTTGGATACAACAATTTAGTGGTCGTGGATGGGTTCAAGGATGACATGGAGCGGAGTAGGTACTAAAAGGTCGGTGGAAATGAAAGCCTATTGGCTTCGTGGATCTAACTAAACACGCCTCCCCCGATGGGCATTGTTAGCTGATATAGGTTCAGGTTGGAAAAGAGCCAGTGGTGGCCAAACAAAAACATGGCCTCATCAATCCATGAAATCCTTGACAGTTAAACTGAGTCAGGTAGGGAGATGCAGACTCCCGGGTTGGGGCCCTCGGGACTCTAGGAATCAATGGCTGGAGACAATAGGTGACATGGCTCAAAATCGTTGTCAATGGCGCAGATGTATTCAGTCTCTGTAATCTTTCATATTCCTTTCTGCATTGCCCATTCTGTTTCACTCTTATATTTGTCAAACTCTATTGATTCTCTCCACTCATCTTCTTGTCTACCTTGTGTGCCAATTGGAACGTGGCAACTCGAACTGGTGCACTTCGGTGCCAAGTTCTATGTTGAATCCAGACAGACAGAACTAAACATTACTGCACAGGACAGAATGAAATGGAGATGTACCACGACAATGTGGCTACCATCGTGTACACTGTGTATCGTCGATATTAGGAGGTCAATCACAAGCCCGAATAGCTCAGTTGTAACGTCTCTGACTGCAGAGTTGGGTGACGCGGGTACGATTCTCAGGTGACATATAAATTCCTTCAAGGTTAATGAATTGCCTTGCTTACTGATGTGTGCCAACGAGCACATAACCTAAATAAAGACAAGCTCCCTTCCGATTGCCTCCAATCCATCTGGTATGTAGTTTCTTCCATTTTAACACTTTCCTGTATCCTGAAGGCTGTCAGCGCAGTGGGCCAACAAATTTCTCAATTAAATTAATATCAATCTCTTAACAAATGTGTAGTAATCAAATATGGACTATTTTCCTTTTTGTTTGTTTACATTTACCCTGAAAATACCTCTCACGTGTTAGTATCGAGCTGTTACGTCATATGTAAAAGTCCTAAGTTCAATCCCGCGTGGTTAGAGGCATGACTGCGTATTGCTGAAATGTGTATCTCAAACAAGGACGAAACAGCTGTCGAGTACATGATCTGACCTGGAACTAACTGAGTTTCTCTGCTCACTAGTGAGTGACTGATTACAGGATGAAGTTGCTTGGATCTCTAGTGGGGGAAGTCGTGACCAGTTTCGCTTGGAGGGAGTTACTCGCCGACGACTATGTGGAAATATATATATGTACAATGTGAATTGAAAGAACTAAGAAGTGATAGTCTAGCCAGTGGATTCCGCCCGAGTGGCTAAATGATCTATGAACTAATCTTGTAAACTGAAAGTCCTGCCTGGTGCGATCCCTGGTCGATTCACATAGGTGCTCTGTTGAAGTGTCCTGAACAAAGATTTAACAATTGTTCAGTACTCCTTTTTGGGCCGGGTGTGTGTGTGTGTGTTCAATAGTTCTCTAACTCGTGAATCATTTTACAGTCAAACCTGAAATCATTCAACCCTCCCCCACTCCTCCCCTCCTAATCCAACCAACCAACATTTGTGAACACTTCTATATAGGATTTTTCTTCTCTCACCTTTTCTCACAGGATCGGACGTAAAGAGATCAGCAAAGCAGAACAACTGTTAAATCGAGCGCTCAAATTAGATCCTGATAATGTTGAAGCCAAAGACGCCCTGAAGGAATTACAGACGAATGGATCTTTATCGTCGAATAAAGATGCCGGTTTGGTATGTGCGAATGTTTTTTTGTTATCATTGTTATTTAAGTTCTGTTGTCTCCATTTCTAGTTTGGTGTCATCATAGGTGTACTAATTGACGCATGATGTGTGTAACACTCAATTGCCTTTAACGACTTTGTTAGGGATTGATTTGTTGGTCAACAAATATGCCGAAGAAAAATAGGGATAGATGGATCGGATACACTGAAGAGATCGTCGGTCGCACGTCAGGCCATCCCTCCAGTGGGTGATAATGAATTGGGCATCAGTGCGAGACTACCTGAGACATGGAGGAGATTGTGTCAGTTGGAGGAGGAGATGGGGCCTATGGACAAAAGTGGGACCAGCCAGCTAAAGATGACTGTAGCCAACAGGAAAAAATGAAGATGTGCCCCGTTTGAAACCCTATGTTTCATTCGGGACCGATGGAAATAATAATAATATTGTCTTCTTAAAGGGGTGGGGGGTAGAAGACGCTAGAAGAAAAGTGCCACTGTGTCTTTTGAACACCTTGAGCAAGAACTTGGAATGTTTGGCCTGTGATGATACGTTTAAATGTGCACCGGCTCTCAGTCTGAGGATAGAGAAAGGAGGTGAAGGTGAAGTGGTTGAGCGTGTTGGCCACCACTGTGCTTATTGGTGGGTCGGATTTACATCAGCCCTAATGCATTGATTGACTGATTGCTGACGGGATTTCAACATGAATAAAAAGAGAGCCCGTATGGTTTTCGCCAACGTATTTATCAAAGGATGTTTGTACAATGTGCTGTAGTTCACTTCATTCTACTTTATGTGACATGCCCCTTGCGAGTGTGAGGTTCGGTATCTTTGATTTCAGATATTTACATACTATTTCCCGCTGTAAGTGGCATAATATGGTGAATAATGATTAGGTTAAGTGTTTAGACTGCTTAGATAAGGAAGGGAATTCAGTGGATCAGGTAGGTACGCGTGCCAAACCGATATCCTTTCTTGTCTAGGAACGTTAGCTAACATAAGATTCAATTGGAAAATAGTCCGGGGGTTTGAGACACCAAAATATGCCATTAGTTGATAGAGTCTTTGGTTGTAGATTTTAGACACATAGGAAGGTGTGGATCTTCAGGCTAGGTAATATCATTTGGATGTTATGAACTTATATAATGGCATTGGTTTGAGACTGTTGGCAGTAAAGCTCAAAGTCGTGGCTCTGTCAATGGCGCAGATACATTCACTCTCTATATACAATTTCTCAGATCCATTCAATTTGTAATGCTGTGTGACTTTTTATTCCATACAATTCTACTCGTCATAGTTCTTTTGAGTCTCATTTTGTCTCTCTTTTCTCTACATTGTGTGTTATATGAGTTATGGTAAGTTGAAGTGGAGCACAGTTCTATGTTGAAACTCAGTCAGTCAAATGAAACGATTTCTCCAGTTCTTAGAGAGATAGCTGATTCTATGCACTATCCTCTTTCTGGTTATATTTCCCTGCTGATCGTTAGCATGTCACCGAAATATGTTTTTCAGTAGTATGTCGATAGGAAGAGTCAACTTTGTTCTACACAAATGTGTCTCATTTCGAAGTGTATATAACTATGTAAGGAATTCATGAATAATGCTTCAATACTTCTGCCAGTAGTTTGGGGGAAATATCATTAGGAATCCGTTGACAACGAAGTAATTTGGAAACTATTTCAACACTATGGTGTGCCTCAAATCTCTATGCACCTCATTCAACTAGAACAATATATGACAATACCACGTGTCAGGTGATCTACAACGCAAAAGTTAACGCAACATTTGAAGTGAAGACAAGCGAAAGACAAGGCCACCAACTATCCCTCTGGATGATATTCCTGATCGTGGTGGACTGGGGATCGAAAAGACTAAAGTACATTGAACCAATAAGAAGATCCCAGCAGGTCTGGATTTCATAGATGACTTATGTCTTATGCCATACAACCTCTCGAAGGTCAACAGTTTGATAGAATAGGCAGGCAACGAAGAAAAGGACTTCAAGAAAAAGGTTATAAAGATAACCAACCGATAACAGTTACAAGCACAAATCACTATCATCAGTGGTCGAAATTTGAAAGAGGTCACGACCTTCACTTATCTTACTAGGCAGCATCGTTTTAGCTACAGGTGGTGGTGGTGCGGATGAGGATATCAAGACCAACCAGAATTGGAAAAGCAAAACAGACCTTTATCACTGACATCTTCCGTACTCTTTCTCAGCATAAGAAATTAAGTGTGGTTTTCCAACATACATGTCAAGTCGGTCGACTCCTCTGTATGTGTGTGTGCCTCACAGGAAACATTTCCACCAGTTAGCAAAGATTCTCACCGATAACTGCCTTCACTGTCTCCATAGTGAACGTCAGATGGCCATCCAGAATGAATAAACAACGAGAAGATCTGGGAAAAAACCAGTCGAGGTCCTATTGCTTGAATAAGTATTCGGAAGAAAATGGATTTGGACTGGACACACTCTGAAAAGACCAACATGGGAAATTGCGTACCAGGTCTCCAGTTCAGATAAACATCTTTACAGAGAAGAAAAGTACAAATTTCACGTAACCTGTCATTTCACTATTATTCTCAGTCTTTCAGGTTAATCGCGTCCCTATGTGTGTACTACTGGATGATTAGTATGAGTAGGTGAGTAGCTGTGAGACCTGTCCATTGAGAGGGGAAGACATGAAAAGCTTAGCTAGTTGTCTTCGATCATAGGTGCATGCGTTCTATTTCCCGTGTGAAGTGGTATAATAAGGTGAGCAATATTGAAGTTAGGCGTCGAGTTCTAGGTAAGCAGGGAAAATCAATCGACGAGTTTGTGAAGTTACATCGACTGAGATGGCTAGGATATGTGTTGCGTATGCCTAGTCATCGCCTTCCTCGACAATGGGCGATGTTAGCGGATATAGGGTCGGTCAGGCTGGAAAAGAGCTAGCCTGTGGGGGGGGGTCAAACCAAAACATGGCCTCACCAGTCAATGAAATCTACAACAGTCAGTCTTAGCCAGCCACGTAGGAAAGTGTAGACTGCTGTCTGGTTGGGGTCTTCGGGACAGTAAGAACCAATGGTTGGAAACAATTGGTGACATGGCTCAAAATCCTCGTTCTCAATGACTGGCTGGCGCAGATGCATCCACTCCTTGTGGCTTATGATTTCCAATGAAACTGTTTTGTTCTTCGTTACTACTCTTCGTTTGTCTCACACCTCTGCTTAATGTTTCTATTATGCCTTTCTTGTACTTTCTTTTCTTGCTTCGCGTGCTACAAGGAGTGGAGTGTGGCGACTTGAACTCCCGCACATATGTGCAAAGTTCTATGTCGAAAACAGACAGACAGGTGAGTAGCACCACTCACCCGTAGAGCTTACTCGCTAGTAAGATAGAATATTGACATCTTGCTAGACAGCCGTTTATCTCGTTTTCAGGAATTGAACTCCCTTGTCAGCGTTGTGCCAGTTTGACTCAGCTCAGAGTGGGCGAAAGAGACAGAGACAACCGAATCAGCTTAAACCACTCGAATTCTGGCTGGTAAAATGTTGAGTCAATCTGTCATTCTTTCATTATATATGTCATGCTTTCAGTTTCTTCTTTGTTTTCCTTTTTACTTCGTTAAAGAGAACCTGGTCACGCAGTCCATCTCCACGTGGCAGTGCTCATGGTTCAATACGGAATGCAGCCGGTGGTACTCGACGTGATCCATCACCTCTTTCTCCAGTTGGTAGTGTTACACGTCCAAGTGAACGAGGCGGTGGTGGTGGTTATGCAACTCACATGGAACGTAGTCGGGCTGCTTTGGAACAACTTGTTGAAAAAGATCGAAGTCGACGAGCTGCTGCCTCTACCAAAGAAGGCGGTGGTCGTCAAAATCATACTTTATCAGATCATAGTCCTCCAGGATTCTATTCTCCAAGTAAGTCACAGCAATGTTGTGTCCTTCTATCATTTAGGGTGTTTTGATTTTATTGATTTGTGATCAGAGATTAGATCGCGGACTGGTGAATCAGTTAGGAAGAAGTTATTGAAAACCTGTGCTCGCATTATCACCTCTATTAGTCTTTGGTTCGGTCCATTACATGGATGTGAGAGTTGTGGGGGCGTAATGCAGCTGAAGGGAATCCTACACCGAGGCGAAACTTTTATATTTGAGATAGTTTATTTGGTTGAATAATAAATCGCACGAATTGCAAAGCCACGACGATCACGGATCGAAAAATAGATCATACAAGGACAGAGAGAGAGACTATGTATTCACGAGTACGCTAACCAGTACATATTAATATCAATGGCGTGAAACAAAAAATGATAGAATCGATCCCGTGTCACTTAGTAGGCATTCTTTGGAAAATGTGCTCGCTGGTGACTAGCTACAGGGTATTTTAGTAAAAGAAGTCGTAACCAGTAAGGATCTATCAGGTTAGGCCTCAAAAATGATATCATATATGACATAACCATATCTGCTGGTAATCAGTCCTTTTATGGATACATTGTATTTTGTGTAGTCTCTAGCAAACTCAAGAGTCACAACTTTGAAGGAATTTTCGGGAACATTAATAACTATCCAGTTAGCCATTGTTGGTTTCCAACGGTTCTCTGATTGCTACGTCAGTTCGTCATCTAATTTGAATTTCTTGAAATTGTTATGCTTATATTTTAACCTTTGTCTTAAATTCTTAACTATTTTTTAGATCGTTCTCATGACCATCGACGAAGGGGTGGAGGTGATTATTCACGTGATGATGTAAGCAGTAATATCTGTTCACAAATTTTCTTCCTCTGTAAAACCCAGTCCTCTTCCAAAATCTTGTTACTATGTACTGCACATGGAAGACTAAATTTCTTAAGTCCATTTTTTATAATCTTATGTAGGATTTATATTCAGTACTCTGGACAGAAGGTCTTACTCATCGATGTTGTTGAATAAACCTGTAATCTCCAACCTAATGGGGACGATCGAGGTGCATACAACAAGTGCTGAAGTTTAATTAACGAAAGACTGAAGGAGAGTTCAATATCCCTTTCGGTTCCGATTAGAACATAGGGTTTCAACCGAAGCACATTTCCACTCCAACCTAGGTTCTCTGCAGTTCCGTTTGGTTGTCTGGTTTTCGTCTCCTTCCTACGCAATCTCCACTGTCTCACTTATAAAGCGCTGCCTAACTCACGCCTTCCCATTTCGGTTTGACGTAATGACTTGGCACATGATGACACTCCATAGTCTCCTCAGGATGTGTCCGATCCATCCCCATTTCCTCCGGTATTTATATTGAAGAATTGGTTTATAGTTGGTTCACAGCCTAGCAGGGTTGATAATTGTCGTCAGTCCTTTCTCCGACCATCTGATCTGCAGTATTCAGACAGAGAAAGGCAGCTATCTGGCGCAGATGCATTCACTCCCTGTGACTTATGATTTCCAATGAAACTGTTTTGTTCTTCGTTACTACTCTTCGTTTGTCTCACACCTCTGTTTACTGTCTCTCTATTATGCATTTCTTCTGCCTTCTTCTGTTGCTTTGTGTGCTACAAGGAGTGGAGTGTGGCGACTTGAACTCCCGCACATATGTGCAAAGTTCTATGTCGAAAACAGACAAACAGACAAGTCATCACACTGGACATGCTAAGGTATTTCAGTTATATCTTTATCGAAATCATAGCATTTTTATTAATCTTTCGATTCCTTTCCTTGTTCCAATTTATACAGAATCTGGGATATCATTATTATTTGTATATCTTTGACTCAAACTGACTTTAACTGCAACCAGTAAGTCGTGGGTTCAAATCCTGCCCGCTCTCTTGGGCAACTGGTGGGAGGTAACAACATTCGCTGTGTATAGAATTCTTGCCAACTACACTGAAGGTTCAGGTTCAAGTCGAGCTGGACACTCTCCTTAATCTCATCTAGCTAGTGGTTTGTAAATCCTGAGATTGGTTAAGGAGTGGGCCAACTATTCTGGAAAGATTTCTTTCAACCCTTGTGAAACCATCCTGAGAAATGTCTTGTCTTATCTGTGTGTATAGCTGTTACCGATATACCTTATTCTACAATACAAGAACAGGCGGACTAATGGAGGTGGTTAGATTATGGGACGTATGTTTTACGCAAATGGCGGACATCTTTTGTTTATTGAAAGTTAGTTGGAGTTTCACAGCAAAGCGGAACGTCTTACCAAGTGATATATAGAAAAACAGCTTAAATGGTTGGTAGCAATCGATATCCACCTGATTTTGCCTCTACTATTCGAACCTGTGTCACCCAGTGCTGTGCAAGAAGAGACCGCGTCTTTGAGCTATCCTGACTTACAGTTCACTTCACCAAGGATTGATCAGTGTTATGACTCTACTAGTCTTTAGTGTGCTGGTAGTACAGACTGAATGCTGTCACAGTCAATGTTTACTGGAATGTTTTCTATCAGGTTAGATGGCGACTCGCCATCGCGATACACTGAGTTGGTTTAAGATGGTTGTAGGCAGTCGGCGTTACCTGGGTCTTGACATTGTTGGCAGTCACTGGCAGAAAAATGTCACATTGGGAATCATTGAATGATTTATTAGGTATTGCAGTTGTTATCTTGAGAGTTGAAAAAAAAATAAAGAGACATATTTCAAGTGATTTTGGTTATGGTACTGAATGAGTCGAATTATGCTTTGTTTGGTCTATTAATACACTGTATACGACTGTCAGCCAATGTGGTCTTCATTTTGAATCTTAATACATCCTACTTCAGCCTACCATATAAACTGGATGGTGGTGGTGGTGGTATCACAGTCAACTGTAGCACGATATGATTGACTATGTGGCGGCCCACTTGGTGCAGAATCATTACACTCTGGCTAACTAACTCTAAAACGTTATTTGTTTATTTATTTTCCTTACAATCTACCGTTACGTAATCTGTGCATTCGTTTTTCTTAGCCTTTATTGACTACTATATCTGCCTGAATACATTCGTTTGTTCAATCATTCTCTTTTTCATCACTCTTGTTATCTTCACTGTTTCCTTCTTGTTACTGATATAATCATTACTATTATTATGACCAATTGCGCAATTTTTTATTCACAATCATACTATCCTACTGACAAAACATTGTGAATGGTTTATATATACTTTAATTATTTATTTGTAAAGTTGTGTAGGTATATTCGAGTTGAGCCTGTTGAGAACTAATTAAAAACACAATATTCTTCACTTAAATTTAATACTCTAAACATTACTATGGGGGGGAATATTTAGTGTTTTGACAGATATGTATGTACATATTTCCATTTTCTCTCGTATTGTTGATTTCATTTAGATGCGTATACACATAGTGTCACACAATGTGTAATATTATATAATATTATATTATTGTATCATAAGGATGCGATGGACTGACTACTCAGCGTCTTTTTTCTATGTCTGCAGGTTATAAGCAATAACTATTAATGCCTATGTGTTGGAATGTTTTTAAAACTGCAGCTGTTGTGGCCATAGCGCCAGTGTATTTAAATACACCAAATTTGAGGTGTTTATTCCGTGTAATGCGAAGACATTGCTTACATTTACATCTAAAACAGCGATTGGGTTGATTGATTGATTGTGTAAGTACATTTAAATAATACAAGTGTGTAATCAATTACAGGAATCAAATTGAATGGTGATGATGGCTGTGAAAAATGGCCTGTGTCAGTGAAGATTGATGGTCAGTTCTATAAGATAAAAAAGGATATTAACAGCTACTGTGAATCATCCCTTCATATATATATATACAAGATGGAGAGATTTATATCTGTTCCTCCCTCCCTCTCTCTCTCTCTCTCTCTCTCTTCCCTTTCTCTATCTCTAACACACGCATACATATACACATCCAAAAAAGACAGAAAACAGGTTTCTTTTCACTTTTATTTTAGATTTCGCAATTATTATTTTAGCTGTTCCGGCAATAATGTATGTGTATATGTGTACATTTGACGAAATTGTCAACCTCATCATCATAATTGTTCGTTATACTGTGTGAAAATTCGAAGAAAGAAAGGCGAAAGGATCCGCTGTCTTTTGTCTGAAAGGAAGGGCAAAATGAAAAAGAATAAAAAAGAACACTCATCAGGATCAGAATTCCAAGATGGATACATTTATCATCTACGCCAACAGGACAACTTCAGAGTGATGTTGTTGTAGATATTCCCTCTTGTAATCAATTATTCTTATTTTAGATTATATAAAATTTGTCTATAAAAATGGAAGGAATTAGATAAAGACAAATTAGTGATATAAAATACTATCCTGAGGAATGAATAAGCAAATGTATGTATATTATGTCGTCGGATCATATGGTTGCTGAGGTGAAAGAAGGCGAAGAAGAAAGAAGATTGCTGTACAAGTGATGAAAGTATACATGCCAGACTGCCCATGAACACTTGACTGTGTCGAAGAGGTGTCTACACTCGCACGCATTTGTGTGTGTTAAAGGGTGACGTGGATAAAAACATGTGCATTCTTCTAATATGCAAGTTGACCTTTTTTTTTCATTAAAATCATAGAACAGGGGAGGTTTACTGCTCACATAATTGTGTCTCAATGAGGAATGACTATTCCGTATCTATGTGTGTGTATATATGTATGTTATTGTTCAGATAAAATCTACCGGCGGAGGAGGAGAAAAGGGTGGTGATAAATCAGACAAATCAAACGTGGATCATCATCGTGGTGACTTGTCCAAAATTGTTATTACACGTGTCGAGGTAAGTGGTGTGTGTGTGTGTGTGTGTAGATGCGTCTGTATGAAGAAGTTCCGTTTGTGTACATTTTTCTCTTGTTCACTTTCTATCATCGGCCTTTGATGTTTCGCAGTTGTGTGGTGAATTCAAGATCTGAACAGCAATATATCCAGACAATGTATGTTCCCCATAAACAACCTAGTATAGCAGAGGGTGATGGGTAGCAGATTGCGTTTTCCCTGTTAAGGTACTGTTATTTGTCCTATCCCTACCCCTTTAACCAGAGAATTCCCTCCCCCACGTAATAGGTTGTGTGTCGGCTTGTGTCTTCCCTCACAAAATCAAATTTGTTAAATGGCGAACATGAATGTTTGTCGCTTTTACACAAATGGACTGGTGATGTACATCCAGGTCTACTACCTCAGAGAGAGGGGTGGGGGAAGCTAAAAAATCCCTGATTATTCCAACAAAGCTACGCTGTGTACAGGGGCGTATGAACCTGTTTTGTGAAATAAACTTCAAGTGAAAGGTTCAGGGAGTTTGGCTGGCCCCCTCAAGAAAACTACCTGTCTTGGTCTGAGGGTATCTAGCCAGTAAGTATATGAATCCCCTCATAACTAATGTTTAGATAAAAATTTCTTTGACGCATCTGCGCTGGCCTTAAGTTTTAATAATACTAATAATAATACCAGCCTAGGCTGTGCTATATCAGCTGTGAAAGCTACTGACTGACTGCTTTCTATGCTGATCTTCAAAGTTACCGAATTTTCTGCTTGCATCACACAATGTAGAGAGGTAAAAGGAAATTACAAAGCGCGGAAGTTGAGGGAGAAAGAATAGTAACATGAAAAAACAATAGGGTTTTAATAGATATGGCTGCTCACGAAGTGTGAATTAATCTGAGCTGTGAATGAGAAGGAGGATTTTGAGCGATATCACCCACCATTTTCCTCCAGTCCTCCTTGGATCGTATAATCCCAGAGTCAGACAGTCTACACCTCCCTACGTGGCTAGCTGGCTGGCGCAAACGAATTGTCAAAGATTTCAGGACTGGTACCAGCCAAGTTTTGGTTTGACTATCACTAGTGCTTTTCCAACCTGATCCTATCTATGTCAGCTAATATTTCCTATCAAGGAAGGGGACAGCTAGGCATGCGTAGCATATGTCCTAGTCCCCTAAGTCGATGAAGACAGCTTCACAACCTCAATACGATTAACTTTCCCTCCTTAACTAATTAACAATTGATGCCTAACCTTTAAAATTCCTCGCACTGTTATAGGACGTAATACACGAGTAAGAACGCCGACACACCAGCTGGAAGGTGTTTCTACCTAGGACAGCTGGAAAACCAAGATTTTAAATCTATAGTATACATGGTGTTCAGAATCCGAAAGAATAGAATGACGTATAAAGCTGTAGTGGATGATTACTGGATGTTTCGTTCAAGTTTCATAGAAAATACACCACCATTCTCTGTCTTTGGGGAGGGTGGTTACTACAGACAGGTACACCCAACTGACTGTCTGTCTGTCTGATAAGTCCTTTGTCTTTCAAGTGGAACAAAGGTACGTAAATTGTGGAGCTTCAGCTTTGAAGTTACATCAGCACTGGCGTTCTTGTTATAGGGATGAGAGCTTACATGCACATTCAACCTTTCTTCCTTATCCTGATCGGGCTTACTACTTCTACCGACTAGGTGCAAGGCTAAGAAGGATTGCCGTCGACTGGAAGATAGGACCTCGGACTACATGACCCTGTTCTGCTTTTCTCAGTTTTTTTTTCTCTCTCTCTCTCTCCTTCTGAACTGAGATCATGTTGACTGATTTTGTTTGAATAAAATCTCATTATAAGTTAAGTTTATTCATTTATTTATTTGCATACACATATTTTCAGTCTGGACGTATTATACGCTGTAAAGATGACGATGACATGGGCGATGACTCGAACAGGTAATCCATCATAATTTTGCTTCACAAATCTTTATTTTCCTTTTATAAGTTTTCTATTTGGGTGTAGGATATTTATGTATGAAAACACAATGCTATCACATAATTATCTAAATTGCTGAATAGTGGAACGTAGGGCTGCAGCTGGGTAGGTGGGGGACATACCCACCATCCCACCTTAGTTCTTTGCAGTCTGTTAATTCTCGATTGAATGGCTCAATGATAGCCCATAAGCCATTATTTCTCCCTCCTTTCAACAACACAGTCTCTTCCATGTGACTCCCAAATTGATGCCCAACTTTTCGTTTCGCATTTGGGCTCTACTCGAGTGACGGTCTGACTGGCGTGTGATTTCACTCAATGGTCTCTTCAGTGATAAGTGTTCAGTTCATCTCCATTTTCTTTCGCATATTTCTATGCCACTACCCGAAATATCCACAGAAAAACCGCGATCCATCGTTTCCCTCCATTCTTCGTGATTAAGTCTGGAATCAGCAGTCCTCATTACTCATGATATCCCACTTATCGGGTCGGGATTCTATTGATCATTTTCGATTTGTGGCTTACGCAAACTGGTTGGTCTAGGTAGGTAGGTGGTGGACATCTCACCACCGTGCGCCACACTTCTGAGGTCCGGGCTCTGTTTCACCAAACCGGGTAATAGGTGTCATCCGCTTACGGACGCATACACCAAAATAGGCATGTGGCTCACATTGTTAACACTGTGCGTGAAGGAAAGGAAAAAGTTAGTTGTAGAGTTTTATTTGCCTTCTAACAGTTAAATCTCTTTTCTCATTCATCTGCATGAAGTGTTAAATTTTTCTTTTTGATTGAAAGCAATATTCTTTTATCTTTTGTGTATAGATCGGATAACTATTGGAAGCGTTCCTATGATGATGATCGGCATGGTAAGTTGGAGATTCATTACGCTTTATCTAAGAAATATATGATTCCTTTTCAAGTTTGATATCTATCACGGATTGGTGCATCAGTTAGGGAACCATTGAAGACCAGTGAGTCACTGAATAAGTGCTTAGTCAGTCGAGTTTGCGACTCTTCTGGAGTACCTATTCTTGACCCTTAGGTTACACGATAAACCATTCTACCATTAGTATCGATTTCAGTAACTGAGCCATCAATTCTAATTTCTACCGATTCGCGCTTTCCGGGTAATGCCATCGGCGAGTTATTACTTCTCAAACGAAACCTAGGGGTTAAAATCCCTCAGTCTTAGTGTAACTCCAGGCAACTTTTTACCAGTCACCAAATGAATGCTGGAAAAGCTAGCTTCGAGAACTGAAGTCACTGGGTCCTGTCTCTATCTGTGGAGTGAACACTGTTGAAGAGTCCCGAATTAGGATGGAACAACTGTCCAGTATCGTCTGGTTTTTTCCAAAGACCATCTGAATCCAATTTGTGATCCAACTTTGTAACCAATGAAACCCCCAACAAATTAGCACTCCAAGATTAATCTAGTTGTCATCAGTTGCTCGCTACAGAATGATTGAAGCTGTCTGAAATGAAGTTCTAGTTGGTTCTGTTAACATCCTGAAAGGCCTGCACAAAACACTGTTCCCAACCAACACTGGAATTTTTATAGGGTTGCCTAATCTCAGCATTTCTCCTTAACTTTGCCATCGATGACAGTCAGCTCTGAAGAACGTGCGTGTTGGTAGTAGTGTAAATCTGCTTCCTTGAAAAAGACATTCTGATCTCGAGTAAGCATAAGATGTCATCTAACCGTGTTGTAATAACATTTAGGTACTAGATCAATTAGGGATCAGTGTCTCTTGGTATGATGTCTACTTTTTGGGTCATCTAAGTGCAAAATATTGTCCCGAGAATGATGGGAGCCTGTATCTGCAATCACTCTTTCAGGTTCAGGTAGTTGGTGAACCGTTTGAAATTGTCGATGACTTCGTGTATCTAGCAGTTAGTTGTGTGAATGCTGGCATAGGTGTAATAGATGAGACTTCTAACTGGAATAGTGAATGTTGTGGTGGCATACGTCAATTTACGCCATCTCTGGTGCAGCCACGTCATCAGTATGGCTGTCAAAGACCGGGTTTACAGAGCTTGGGTGCTCTCAGTGTTTTGCTTCACGCCTGTGAAACATGGCCTCTTCGGGTGGGCTGAGGATGTGCAGCGACTCTGCGTACTTGGTAATTTCTGTCTCTGTAGAATTGCTTGAGATTTTTATCGTCACCTTTAGCCCAATGTCATCGAAAACAAGTATTTGTCCTGATATCGGATGACTTAGTGCATCACGGCGTTCTTGTTCACACGACTTCTCACTAGAACTTCGGGCAATTTTATCCCCTTACAGTCGATGGGTAGCGAACAAATAAATGATTTGAAGCTACACCAGGAACTAACGTAGCAGTAAGAGAAGACCTGTGAGTATTGTTTGGTGGCTGTTTTAACCTAGATAGCTGGACAGGGTGAAATATGTCTATATACCTAAACGTAATCCGCATCTAATAAAGCGATAGGATTGATAAGAATGTATTAAGCCTATATGTTTTCAGGATGTTTATATGCTTTTAGACTCACAGTTTAAACGGATGCCAACTTTGATCAGTATGTAGCGGTGTTCACTACAGTTCGCAAATGAAATCTTCTGAGCGACAAATCTTGATGTTTTTTTAGCGCATATATCTTACGGACAACACAATGGTCTTGGGTACAATTCTCCGTCGACGCATTCCTGAATCAAACTCTGTTAGGTCTAGCTGGCAGTTATCTAAGCCCCGGATAAGAAGGAAGGTGTCTGAACTTGAGGTTATCATTCCCCAGCCCTATCAAAAACCACCACCTCTCCTGGAGCATCGGAAGAAGCTTGAAGTCATACGCTATATTTCGGCCAGCCCAAGAATGAAAACAAAGATAGTAAGACGTCTGACAAAAATAATGTCGCCTGGAAATGATGCAAACATGATTTCGTGAAGAGTTCCAAGTTTAATTTTCTTTCATGTGAAATAAATCCTATTTACTTAATCTAAATATCAATCCCCATCTGTATGGTCCCTACTGGGTGGGATGTCCTCAGGCCGTAGTACTGTGGAGAAGTTGTAACCGGTGGGAGATAATCCTCCATGTCGTTGTGAGAATGGATTCTTATCGAAGACACTTGTTAAGGAATGGTCAACAATCTTCGTCTGGTAACCCACCTGAACACCTCCTGGTTCTAACTCGTGGTGACGTAGGTGTACACTGATAAGGAGGACCAGTTACAAAGAAGGTTGTAACAGTGTTCCTTACTGGTTTTAAATATTTTTTTTCTAACTGTTGTTGTCGTCGGGTGATGTAACTGATTTTAAGTGTTTATATTCTACTGAAATTTACTTGTTTTTAGGTCCGGATAATGCAAAACGAAGTCGAGTTGAAGCAGAGCCAGAATATCGCAGTACTCGAAGAGTAAGTGGCCGGAAACTAACCCATCCGTTTTAGCTTATATTCTCTGTCTCTGCCTTACTCATTATGACAGTTTCTGAAGCCCCCCCCTCTGTTATAAAAATCCATATTGTTCTATTTTGTTAAGTACTAAAATGAAGCTTGTTTCATGCTTCACACTATACTACTACGTTGGATAATAATTCAAGAGAGTTCCCATGTGCTGTCATCTAATACATTTATGTCTAGAAGACTTATGCTTTACCAAATTCACGCCCTAAACTTGCTTGTCTAGCCAAAACAACCGGGTGACTAAGGAAGGTTTGCCTTAAAGCTGGCTCGGTCGAAAAACAACGCCACTGTGATGTTAATTCCCTCTTTGGAGTGGAAAAGACCGACAGTCTCGTGTGGGGTATCCTATGACTGAATAGGTCATCATCTCGCCACTGAGTTCCTGACTTGAAGTCCAGTCCATATGTCAGTAAAGTGACACTGGGAGCTCAGATGTTTCCCATTGACTGAATCAGGTGTATACACACCATTCAGTCCAGCACATATGTAAACAACACAGCATAGGTTTAGGAGCATAGTTTTGTAGATCCCTTAGGTTCGAGATAGACTAGCCTGTCCAGCAGGCTGGTTGTGTATGTTCTGGATGTACATATTTTCCCTTTCATTCACTTTCGTGACTAACACTCTCGCCACATGAAGACAATTGATAGGATCTAACTAGTCTCATCATCATAGTGCACTCTGAATTGGTTGTTGTTGTTGTTGTTGTTGTTAAATGGTCTTCAGTGATCAGCTGGAAACCTTGACCAACCTTGTTTACCACTAGTCAGCGTGTTGTCTGCAACTACCATGATGACCCTTCAGAGATTCGAATCCGAGTCATCCAGTTGCAGTAATGCAGTTGGAGACAAGTTACCACTGAGCTATTTCGGGGTTCATGACTGACTGACCTCCTGTAGGACTGACGAGTGCCAAAGACACAAAAGGTAGGCCTTCAGTCGTCTGACACTGTTTCCGTATCACGTACGACCGGCATACTACTCACACAATCCTGAGTAGTACATCTGTCTTTCAATAAAAATTATCAAAAATATAAATTTCTTTATCCGTTATTCTTTATTTTATTTTTCAGGTGTTTACACCCCCACGGAATGCCCGTGAAGGCGAACACGGTTCTCTTACTGTTTATGATAATGAAAATGATCTTCCAATGACGTCGAAATGTCTACAAGAACGTGTTATGCAACGTGTACGTGTTATCGAGAGACGTCACCAAATGGAAGATGGAGGTAATCCGGTTGGTGGAGCAGATGGTGCACCAGCGAATGGCCCCGGTGTGGTTGGCGGTGGTGGGTCGGAAAAGCGTCGTGAAAGTTCACTGACCACAGATGATGCTGGGCCGCCGCCATCGGATTCGCCTAAAGGAAGAGGTGGAGATGGCGATCGTAGTTCATTATGGCGTAGTGGTGGGAATGGTCCGTCGGGTGGTGGTTCTTCTGCAGATCGTCGATCTGGTGGTTCATTCCAGCGTCCAGAATATCGTGGAAGTGGGGCTGGTGGTGGTTATTATGGCAGAAATCGACCCCGTGGCGGTGCTGGAGGAGGGTCTAGATGGCGTGGTCAATATGATGACTATCGTGTACGTCGGAATAACTGGCACAATCATCGGTAAGTTAATATTATTACTATTCCATTCCATCCTGTTTACTGTACAGTCTTCCAGCTGGCTCCATGTTCCCCTATCGGTTCTGCTTCCCCTCACCTCACACGGCCTGCTCCATAGGATTACACTCGGACACATGCTCTACTTGAGCGGTGGCCCGGCACGCAAAATGTCATTCCACCGTTATCTCATTAAGTGTCTGATCCATCAATCTCCATTTCCTTTGGCATATGTGTTGGTCAATAGGTTGCCTATCAGAGTTCCTTTTCGCTTATCCGGGTAGTGAAGACAGCTCTTCACGAATGCCTGTGGTAATCTCTTGGAAATACTTTTTTGTGACGCGTCAAGCCTGCGAATCATACAGAAGTATTGATTTACTTGATAGTAGTGTTGAAAATCTGAACTTTGTTCTTCGTGCTTGATGTGGCAGATTTCTACATTGACTTCTGATCCGATCCTGTCGTTGACACCCTCATCCATGCCACTGTCTGTCCGAAGCCATATATCCGAAATTAGTGAAAATCGTGACCGATTTCAATTTTCTTTTGTTGATAGTGACTGGTGCTTGTTGTTGCTGTTGGTTATTGGGTATCTATATCAACTCTATCGTGTATGTTTTTCCCTTGAAGGATCTTGTCTTCTCTGCCTTTTGTTACTCTTCTGTCAACAGTTTGTGTGATTTTAGGCGTAATAATACTCAGCGAAGTTTGAATCTTATAGGGTCTTTTTATTGGTTCAAAAAATGTATTTTCTGTATAATTACAATTTAACTTTTTCAGTACTCTATTCTACCATATATTTGCTTTTACTCCCCTCATACACAGCTATGATGAACGTAGACGTGATGCATCAGGTCGAGCTGGAAGTGCCACCAATTTTGAACGTCGTCGGAAGCGTTATGGTGCATCAGGATCAGTAGAGCGATCACCTAGATCATCTCGTTCCCATTCAAGGTCACGTTCACATGTGTCAAAGAGTCGATCCCGATCATACTCACGTAGTCCTCGATCTTCTTCACCATCTCCATCACCTATCCGCCCTGTTAATCGTGGACGGTAAGTGAAGTCATTTTCCCCTCATTCTGATTTTTGTACACTGTTTAGCCCTGATTGATAGCTGCATTGTATCTCAGTGTTGTAGTTTGCATTGGTGGTGGTGAGGCTTGCATGTTGCAGTCATCGCCTGTACCTGATGATGAACCACTCTGATTGGAACAAAAGCATTGGTCCTCTATTATTCGGGGAATTAGACTGAAAGCCATTCCCATCATTGCTTTAGGTCGTCTAACCAATATGTATAAGGTTTGAGGTCGAAGATTATATTGCTGGTGAAGCAGGAATTGTTACAGTGGTAGGATGTCTACCCCTCTGACAACCAACTATGCTACCTCTCCGGTCTAGGAGGGAGAGGCGGACTCCTAAAATTATACATCCTTAGTTGCAGATAAGTTCCTAATGCGGATATCACTTTTCATTTCTTCCGCTTTCAGTAGTCATGTCACAGAGCTATAAAGATGGACACAGTGAAATTTCGTTATGTAGTACATATGTTCTTTGACCGGCAGCTACGCATCACCTCTGCGTCAGTGATGACTTGGGTGGTCAACATGTTTGACCCCTTGATTCCTTATCCCTAAGTAATTAGGAGGGTAGACCAGTCCTCTGGCATCATTTTACTTTTGACAGGAGCTTATCACATTTTAAACATTTGAAGATCTTCACTCAGGATGTTCTAATTAATTTGCTACATTCTTTCATCATTTCCACCTAGGAATAGGACACTGTCACTGGCATACTCTGTGCCACCCTTGGGAGTAACAAGTCATTCCCTACCTAATTCACTATGGTCAGTTAGGGGCAGTCTATTGCATTAGTACATCCGCGATGGAATCAAGCAAAATTTGGAAAGCAGTGGGCATTTCTGAATGAGAACTAGGGGTGTCATCCACTCAGGGGACAACTCTCTGCTTATCTCTTACACTACTGTGGCCGATCATACTTACTCTTCTAAGCCCTCCGTGACTCACTTGAACTGTTTTTAAGAGCATTGGTATGCACAGGAGGGATTTGATTGGTTAGAGGTTTGATCGCAAGCTGAGTGACGACATCAGTAAGTGGGGGAGGGAACCATTGTGAAACTAACCAACAAACCTGGGGATCCTTGACAGCAGTTTGGCCTCCTCCACCCATCAGTTGGGGACTCTTCGGCGATACACACTCACTCGCCAGGGTTTTAGTACAGGGCCTTCCAGTTACAAAGTGACCCCATGAATTCCCTCTCTCACCAATTAGTGATATATATATATATATATATATTACGAATTATAGCGGATGTTACCCGATGAATAACTGTCCTCTTACCTGACATGGTATGGACTCCACGCTGGCCACGCACAACACTTTTCACTAGGAACTGCAGCTGTAACTTTATTTCCTTTTTATATTTTATATTATTATTTCTGAGTGTACATTATCCCATATTGATTTCCATTGAAATATCTATTCAATTCCACACATGTATATAAATGAAGGAATAAAGTTGTGTGAGTAACTTGATATGATTATGAGCAATAATTTGTACTCGAAATGCCAGTAGTTAATATTAGTGTATAACAAACACTGTGTGGTTTATCAAAATAAAATCTTATCCATAATGGAGTTATACTCTGCTACAGTGCCTAAGTTTTATACCTATATCGATTTTTATATTTTCTTTTTCACAGTGTGATATCTCGTGCTCGTATAAAAACGCCTCCATTGGCACCCCTCGTAACCAATTTTAAACGTAGTGAGTCAGACGAGAATCTCGCTGAATTAGATCAGTTTGTTGCCCAGTTGAGAGCTAAACGTCAGCTACAACAACAGTTTCAACAACAACAATATATGGCTCAATTTCAAGAGATGCAAGGTCCAACTGTAAACACTCCAGCTGTAGCACCAACAGCCCCTTCATCACAGCATCTGCCATCCGCAGGAGAATATGGCCAACAGCACCAGTCGCAGGCGTCAGCACAGAATAACACCAGTCCACTGAAAATCACCTATCGTCGAAGTGAAGTAGAACAGGAAGAGAATAGAGGAGGAGGTGGAGGAGAACATGGAGCAGCCTCACAAAATGACTACAACAATGGCGGTGGGCATGACTCCCCAATGCAAGAAGACTCCCCAGAACCTCCACAAGCTCAATCACCACCACCTCCTATCATGGAGAATAATGAAGATTACTCGGTGAAAGGCGGCGAAGATGATGGCAATATACCAGTAGAAAATGCAGCAGCCTAGTGTGTTTGTTGATTGTTCCGTGTTGCTGTTGTTGTTCTTCTGATTTGGTTAGTTGGTTTGTTTGTGTTTCATATTGTGTAGAATTGTTCATCAGTCAGTCAATCAATCGGTCGATCCGTGAAATCGATCGATGAATAAATTTAATCACTGTATTTTTCTGCATCCCTATTCCACCAAAAAGAGGTGAAAAATTGAATTTCCGAATACAAGTCTTTTATTCGTGAGATGATGAGTGTGTGTTTTTTGTTTCTGTGTTGTCGATAATGTGTGGGATTCGAAGACTGCAATAAAATGCGCGTGAATCACTGCGGGGGGAGGGCGTGAAGTCTATTAAATTGTCCAACAAAACTGTTAGTAATGAGGGTGTTGATTGAACAAATTTCTAAATAAACATAATATTAAAAGTCGGATTGGGTGTGAGGGCAAATACTCGCCACCACTGACATTGGCTAGTTCCAGTCGCCGGTATATTGTGGATTAACAGAAGTTGGAATTCATGGGTTGGCCATTGGATTGGGTCCCAGTGGCTCAATGGTCTACGAGCTTTCCCTATAACTAGAAAGTCTTCAGTCCGAACCTTTGTGATTGGTGCGTTCTGATGAAGGGTCCTGAACTTAACTGACGAAACAGCTGTTGAGTACTCCCTGGCTGGTTTTCCAATGATCCTCTAGCCGATGTCACCTTATTATGAAATCCTGTAACCAGTCAAATTCAATCCATGCCAACCAACACTTGAATATTAGAAGTCACTCTGAAGAACAACGATCTGGTACAGTTGCGATGGCAGAGTGAGTAGTAGACTGTGTCGGAATGCTGTTTCATGTGGCCGCCACACACGCTGTCACCATAGCCTTTTTGCCGTCAGGTAAGTTGTCTTATGCACACTGTCACCTACCTTCATCACGAGATGAGTGAGAGGGTGTGTTCCTCACAGAAGTGGTAAACACCGCTGGTGATATCCGAACGGGCGAAGAAAATGCAAGTCTACTTCATAGTGGCTTGTTGGGGAGGAGCTAGAAATTCATAATTCCAAACCTACGGTGTGTAGATGGGCTGCCTAGTAGTGACATATGAACCGGGGTGGCCTCCCTTACGTAGCGACCACCTGCATACTTCTGTTGTCAGGATGTCTCGACATTGAGTAATACAGCCCTACTGACAAACTGAAATTGTCTGTGGCATATGGTGGCCTGATGCACAGAATGTGCAAAGTTTCTGTTTCAATAAATATGACCCTTTCTTCCAATAAATTCTCCTCTTAAGGTTCCTATCAGATATAAAATGCAATCTTTAGATTTAGTATTCACTAAAGAGCGCATATAGGAGGAGGACTGCACAGTGAATAGTGTTCATCATGAAAATCAATACGCATGTGGTGAAATGGATTGGATGTAGTCGTATATATTGAGAGAAGATTAGACAATATCGAAAAGAAAAGATGCCTAGGGGATTTGATTGGTTATAGGAGATTCTCCACAAGCTGAGTGAATCTGTTGGGAAACCCATCCAACGGAGGCGTACTGGACAGCTTGTTTCATCCCGCTAGTTTAGGACTCATTCTTCAGAAATCTTCACATGTAGCACAATGTGAATTCCGCGGTTTTCCTGGTGAACATATTCAGCCATTGGGATGGGTTGCTTTCGCTAAACACATGATAAATATCGTAAGAAAACGATTGCAGAGATGAAGATTTTCTTTTCAATGAAGTCAGCGTCAACCAGTCTGTACATTCGTGTACATATAGGAAATGTATGATAGAGTTCCAGGGATATTTATGGTGGAGTGTCAAATTAGAATGAATGATAAGATTACAAATAGGGATCAAAATGTAATAATTACAAAGTTAATAGGAGATCGGATAAAGTCTATCTATTATCGTTACAATAAGGGCCAGTTATACAGTGGATCACCTTTTTAACACAGAATAATAGATTAGTTATAGAGTGTCAAAATAAATAGTCGTATTTGTGTGATAAACGTGCTAGGCTGAGTTCAGTTATTAAATATTGTGAAATGCAATACCATGATGGTGATTAGTCAAAGTAGATTCATACAATGTGGGGTAGGAAAAACTAACAAATCAGTTCAAGGTTATAAAAGGTGTCAGGTGAGTGGCTAGTACAAAGTCGTATATATTAAGGAGGAGATAGTAAGACTTCAATGAGAGGTTCAACATGAAATAACCAAAATGTGAAATGAAATATGTGGAGGCATGTATTGGGAAAACAGATAATGTCACTAATAATAAGTCCAAGTGTAGTGAGAGCTGTCTGCGAGCCAAAATTGTAAGCAGCCATGTACGCCAATGTTTACGTCCTGAAACGGGGTCATGAGAAGAAACAAAACTAAGCCTAACCTTGATGAATTCACCAACTAATCACAGCACACTTAGCTTGTGCAAATACGATTCTCAGATATATGGATAGCTTATGTAAGTAACGGTCACGAGGAGTACAGAAAAACCAATCAGAAGAAGTCGCTTCTCTGCTAAAATAACGAATCATAATGTATGTAAAAATTTATAAATATCTGTTGATTTTCTCAATAAAACCAATCTGTTGCCTGGCCGTTGTCTTCTGTTGTTACACTAGTAGTATAAATGGCAAATTCGATAGTATTGAAAGAATGTTTCAATGGAGGGTATACATTATTACGAATAATAATAATAATTGTAATAATCAGCAAAGCAAAAGAAAAACAAGAGATAAGAGAAACATACACTCTTGGAGTATAGAAGAAACTTTAGTCCAAGTTTGGCCATGGTTGAAACAGTGTCTGGACGTGTTCTTTTTGGATATAGTGTTCCGGTTCAGTCAATCTCGCAACTGATTTAGCTATGTATGTAGGAGATGTATGCGAACTGTACGTGATAACGACTTCGGAATATGGCATATAATCAATCCTAAAGGCTGTGTTGGTGTTCACTGGTAATTCTGCTTCCGTTGTTGGTATTGTTGGGCACGTTGTAGATGGCGGTCGATTAAGAAGTCTTTTGAAGTGTTTAGCCCAGTGTCTTCTTTGTTCCACCTCTTTGGTGATTGATTTTCCATTGTCATCCTTTAGTGGCTTAATTTGTGTCGAACATTTTCCCGAAAGTTGCCTAGTTGTTTGGTAGAGTGTGGCGAGGTCTCCTTTGCCTGCACAGCAGCTTGTTCTGCTTCACTTTCCATGGCTTCATAATATTTTCTTTTGTCTTCCCTGACACTCTTCTTTACTCTTTTGTTCAGTGCATTGTAGCTTGCATTCAACTCCTGTTTTTGTTGCTCGTCGGTGCATTGGATAATCTTTTGTTTCACCACCCTTCTCTCTTCTATTAGTCTCCATGTGTCCGTAGTGAGCCACTGTTTGTCCTGCCTCTTCTTTCTGCCTAGAACTTCCATGCAGGTTTGACTCCACACTGTTTTCAGGTTGTCCCAGTGCTTTTTGACGTTGACCTCTTCGCTAGTGTTGATTTGTATTTAGGCTTTGTCTCTTATATTTGCAATGAACATGTCCTTTGAATCTTGGCCCTTCAGTTTTTGAGTGTTGAACTTGGCTTGTGGTCTATCTGCAGCTCCTGTTTCCCTGAAAGCTTTTAATTTGATTTGGATTGTCCCTTGTACGAGACAGTGGTCTGAGCCAACGTCTGCTCCTCTTCTTACTTTTGTATCCAATAGGCTGCGCCTCCACTTCCCTGAGATTGAGCTGAAGTCAATTTGGTTTTTGGTTCGCCCATCTGGTGACACCTTGTGGATATCTTTGTGTTTGTAGGGGTAAATAATTCCCCAAAATTGTTGACCAGAGCAATCACCACTGAACATTGGGTGCTGAGGCTCACTGTTCAACTCGACTTGTTTAACCGAAAGCTTCCCATCAAGCATCGACACTATTTGGTACTCTGTCGTGTCACATTAGTGCAGGATCACTAGCTAGCTAAGCAATCATCTCGGACGCTGATTTGTTCCCGAAATATATCTCGTAATTTGGACGACCAAATATTGTCGTTTGCTTTGCCTTTGGTCTACGCAGAACGAATACTATAGAAGTTGTGGGTATTAGATCTTGCCTTAGTTTACTTCGTACTAACCGTGAACGTCAATACCGTCAGCCTGTAAAAAACTCTTAAAGTGAAGTTAAGATTTGTTGGGATGCGACAGATGACTTTGCAAGCCTAATTTTGCCTCTTCCAATTTAGCTGCTCCTGGAGCTATTTACATAGGCCGTACAATTGGGCTTGTTTCTCGTCGGAATTCCGACGTAGTTGGTAAATTAAAAGGCAAACAAAATCCATTCATAGCGCTATTCTATCTCATCTTGTGCATATAGAACACAAGATTGATGTCAATGAGGCTTTCAAAGTCATCTGCCGCATACCAATAAATCTTAACTTCAGAGTTAGTTTGCTAAATATTGCTAAGGCACTTGGGATCCACATTAAGAAGCCCAATTTATGTGTCCTAAAGAAGCTAGTTCAGACTCTGTCCTTACCTTGGCCATCTTGGTTCGAATAATCTTCAGTTTTTTGTAGAAATTTCCTTAATTTTAGTTGTTATTCTACTTGCCATTATATTTTTATTATTATTATTATAATTTAAGCATCTTTAATAAACTGTGGTTCCATTGCGATCTTACTTAACAAATCGATACTATCTAAAAAAACACCAATATTGTCATTGACTACTATTCTAGAATATTCTATGCCTATATATATATATATATATAGAGAGAGAGAGAGAGAGAGAAGAGGAAATTATTGAAAAGGATATTCTTTGCTCAATTATTTTGTGTTTCATAGAAACAGAGTTTAATTTTAAACAAAAATCAATCATCTAGGCTGTACATTCGAGTGTTTATATCAAATAGATGGGAAAGTTTCAGAATAATTTCCGGTCAATGGGGCAAATTAATAAAAATTAAAATGAAGAAAATTTTCTTTTCGACGAAGTCATCATCTAGGCTGTACATTTGTGCATTTATATCAAATGGATGGGAAAATTCCAGTTATTAATTATTCGGGAACTTTCCGATCCATTTGATATAAATACACGAATGTACAGCCTAGATGATGACTTCGTCGAAATATATATATATATATAAACACTTTATTTCGAACAATAGTGATCATACACAACAAAAGTTTCGACATTACGTAATCAGATGAAAGAGGTGGTGAAAATATCCAGTTACCAGGGCAAAGAAAGACTGATAACTGCTTCTTTCTGAACACACAAGTCTGATTTCAGGCGCTTGATTGCTTCAAAAAACTTGAGGAGAAGTGAACCCTTTTGCCTATTGGTAATTTTGAATGATCTTGTGACGTCCACGTCAAACTTAAATTCTAACCAATGTTGGCTTTAATAAACTTCTCTGGATATCTGTTTTTGCTTAGAGTATCACGGATGATCTGGAGCTCTTCCTTCTACACAATCTTCTGAGCGACTCCATCTCTCTCTAAATGATAAGCACTTGATCAGATT